AATTTCTGAACATGAACAGCTTTGCTGTGTTCGTTTTCTTTTTCGTGTTAATGACAATTTAACCCGATAAAATATTTCAAGATTTCAATTGAGGAGACTGAATTATTTCATGTTTTTCGCAAAATACGAGTGTGATACATAACATCAAAAGGCAATTGATGTTATAAGCATTATATAGAAATGGTTGGGAGTGAAAGTGAAAATGCAATGCAAGCACAAAAACTTCCGTGGCCAATATGGGGATCGAACCCATGACATCCGCGTTATTAGCACGGCGCTCTAACCAGCTGAGCTAATCGGCCAACTGAGAAAGAGGCTGAGCCAGTTGAACATATATACCCTTGAAAACCCCATTTTAGGCATGCTGTGAAAGTTAAGACGTTTCTTTCAGATAGCGTGGCATAAGGCACCTTGCATGCTGTCTCTCCAGAGACGTGGTTTCCAATCCGACCACTCACACATATGTAACTCATAACCATCCCTGTGGCTTCTACACGTACTGACAAACATGTGTGGGATTCTTTAGAAGTGACAGACACATTATCATGACATCAGAAATCATTTTATTTATACATAAGCTAAATCGACATTTCTTTCAATTGGCATGTCCAGATTTCTCCAATTTCTGAACATGAACAGCTTTGCTGTGTTCGTTTTCTTTTTTGTGTTAATGACAATTTAACCCGATAAAATATTTCAAGATTTCAATTGAGGAGACTGAATTATTTCATCTTTTTCGCAAAATACGAGTGTGATACATAACATCAAAAGGCAATTGATGTTATAAGCATTATATAGAAATGGTTGGGAGTGAAAGTGAAAATGCAATGCAAGCACAAAAACTTCCGTGGCCAATATGGGGATCGAACCCATGACATCCGCGTTATTAGCACGGCGCTCTAACCAGCTGAGCTAATCGGCCAACTGAGAGAGAGGCTGAGCCAGTTGAACATATATACCCTTGAAAACCCCATTTTAGGCATGCTGTGAAAGTTAAGACGTTTCTTTCAGATAGCGTGGCATAAGGCACCTTGCATGCTGTCTCTCCAGAGACGTGGTTTCCAATCCGACCACTCACACATATGTAACTAATAACCATCCCTGTGGCTTCTACACGTACTGACAAACACGTGTGGGATTCTTTAGAAGTGACAGACACATTATCATGACATCAGAAATCATTTTATTTATACATAAGCTAAATCGACATTTCTTTCAATTGGCATGTCCAGATTTCTCCAATTTCTGAACATGAACAGCTTTGCTGTGTTCGTTTTCTTTTTTGTGTTAATGACAATTTAACCCGATAAAATATTTCAAGATTTCAATTGAGGAGACTGAATTATTTCATCTTTTTCGCAAAATACGAGTGTGATACATAACATCAAAAGGCAATTGATGTTATAAGCATTATATAGAAATGGTTGGGAGTGAAAGTGAAAATGCAATGCAAGCACAAAAACTTCCGTGGCCAATATGGGGATCGAACCCATGACATCCGCGTTATTAGCACGGCGCTCTAACCAGCTGAGCTAATCGGCCAACTGTTTTGATCTGTTTGAGTTTTTGTATTTGTTCTAACGCGATCTGCATATGTCAGATTACTATTTGTGGGGGTTATGGCAATTTATTTCACTTGCATATGTTGTTAAAAAGTGCGTTCTGATCTACATACGTTGTAATTATACTGCACCGCTTTTCTCCAACAAGATGTCGAAAAATCATGGTAGATGCGTCTTCTTCAACTGGTTCCAATGTTGTACACACAGTTCGCTGTTCGTTATTTTCTGATTATATAGACAGATGCCCAGTCAACGACTTCCATTTATGGACAAGCCGAATGGTTACGGAAATGGGTGGAGATCATTCGTCACTACTAGCCCAATTCTTCGGCTTTTCCCGGAATAACACGAGTTGATCACAAATCTTTGATCTTATCGTCAGATGTCAGTTTTTAATCTTGCCCCAATTAATGCATTCCCGGAATAATGTTCGTAGATAAATATGGACTGAGAAACCCCGATAACAATTGGCCATGTGTCGGGAGGCAGCGTCCAGAGCTATTTTGGTTTCTTGAAATACCCTGTGCATGTTGACTGGGCGCCAGTCTACCGAAAGTGCCTTAAGCTTGCTGCGCGAATTAAAAGTAGGACCTGTTTAACTACGGATCTCCTTCGAGGAAAATGCGTGTTCTCGCTACAAACTGTAGATATATAGGGATATGAAGTATTATATAAATTTTCTTGAATTAAATCCTTAAGGACGGAAGGTGACTCTTCCCTACAATCCTTGCCTATAAATATTCAACAATTTCGCCCAGATTTCAGTTGGCCGATTAGCTCAGTTGGTTAGAGCGCCGTGCTAATAACGCGGATGTCATGGGTTCGACCCCCATATTGGCCACAAAAGTTTTTGACATTTTCTTATGCATTTATTTTTATAAACATGCCTGTTTATGCTTCATTTCATTTTAGTTTTCATCTACAAATGGGTAATTTATTGGGAACGATACAAAAGCTATTCAATAATACTGATTTTATGGGCCCTATACTTTTACCTGGGCCGTCCGTATTATGTTAAGTGCTTCCCGCCGGTCCTCTACTACCGTCCCGATCGAAAACATTTTATATCAATCCCACACGCCTGAATAGATATAAATTTGGCTCTGAAAACAATGAACGTATTTCCAGTATCATTAAAAATATGATCTTAAGAATATTCAAAAAAGGATAATGACTACCTGATCGATTCTGACGCTGTTGTAATCTCGATATAGATACCGTTGCTTAAAAACAAAAACCACTGCAGCACAATAACGATATCTTAACATTGATCACTGATCAATGTTAAAAGTTAAAGTAGCGTAAAAATATTGTCCTCCTGCTAGTGCCACGTAAATCCATTCTCGATCAAGGTAAGTATTATTGATTTGTGTTTTAGAACTTAGATTGTATTGTCTTTTTTAATATTGGCTAGCATACGGTACAAACACTGGTAGCCAAAGTGATGGCATAAATCCTGCTGGGGAGTCATGCAGGAAGCATAGGTACTGTAAGTCCCCATGATCTCCAGTAAGGTGGTCTAACTTTGGTTATAAGTGGTCTATAGCCTTGTTTTGATTGATAGGACTTAATCTATTGTAGCTATATGTTTTGTAAAAGAAATTATGATCTAGTTTGTTTTATTTAAAACTGTGATATATCTTACTATTTTACTGTCCTTGTCGACAGATATTTTAGATTTAATACCTAGTTCCCATCGCTATATGCCTGAAATATCGCCGATGCGATGTAAAATTTAACTCACACACTCACTCTGATAAATGTTCAATTCTGGACGTCAGAATTTTATCGAAAAATATATTTGTCCCCGAAACTTCTTAAAATAATTAATTGCCCCTAAACTGTCTAAATCGCATAAAGATCAGCGATTATAGCAGATGTCTACATGTACATATGAGATCTTGATATAATATACATTCAAACCTTGTCATTATGTGCTAATAATATTATACATGCCCTAGCTTTACGTTCTTTATTATCATACTTCTAATTGTACTTTAACTAGACTTTCTACTTCTTGTATTGTTTGTTTGTTGTTTAACGCCGCACTCAGCAATATTCCAGTTATATGACGGCGGTCTGTAAAATAATCGAGTCTGGACATGACAATCCAGTGATTGATATCATGAGCATCGATCCACGCAATTGGGATCGATGACATGTATCAACCAAGTCAGCGAGCCTGACCACCCGATCCTGTTAGTCGCCTTTTACGACAAGCATATAGTCGCCTTTTACGGCAAGTATGGGTTGCTGAAGACCTATTCTACCCCGGAATCTTCACGGGTCTTCTACCTCTTGTTATAGCACCACCATTTGGTATACCGTATTCGACGTAATAAGCGCCCAGGGCGCTCTCAAAATTAGAATATTATTTTGGTGAAAAAAAAGTTGAGTTGAAAGATAAATTTCGTGGTTTATACTGACAGCCTGATAATAATTAAGTGTGCATATAACGAGTGCGTATTATACGCGAATAAATAAGTCTTGTGTACATTAATCAATCGGAAGGGGTGCTAATTGGGATTGTTTACTAGCCAATATATTAGCAAATATCGCCGTGGGCGTTTATTAGAGCGGGGCGCTTATTACGTCGAATACGGTATGATATGTGTATCTCTACTGTACACTGTGGCCTTTATGTTGAAGTATACTTAATTATGATTGGATAAAAAAATATTAACTATACGTGATATTGAGGTTGTGTTTCAGTCTGTTTTCATGTTTTGCTTGCGTCTAGAATGGTTAAAAAGTAAATCTGAATTCACAAATATTACCTCCCGAGATGAAGTTATTAGGCTTGTTATAAGAGGGTTAAGCTCTTAAGAATAGGGCTTGGACGGGTAACTTGGACGGGTCGGGTGGGTCCTGACGAGGACTCGGGTATACCCACAGGACTACCCGAACTCGTGGTAAGTCATGTGATACATTGTTTAATGACAAAAAGTATCTAGAACTCTATGGTTACACTATAAGTCACTAATGTTCGCATTTCTTCTGACTATGCACCCATTCCTTCTGACTTTTCATATGGTTGAATAAAGATATAACTTATGTAAACTTCAGTGTATGCACGACAAGATCGTTTTACACATGTATCTTATTACATTTTGCCAGGGCTGTGGTCAAACTTTTCCAAATCAGTTGGTATCTATCTCTAAATATCTACAACGGGTACCCGGGTGGGGTCGGGTAATAGGGTGGTGGGTAGTAAATTTGGACTCTTCCCAGCCCTACTTAAAAAGCTCTTACAAATTGCAAAATTAACACTGTATAATAATAGGGCCAAATAAATATTCTAGTTGCTAAGTTATATAAGCATGGTGAACGACAAAGTACATTCTGGGAGATAAATCTAAAACAATTTTCACATTTATTTTGATACAAGAATGCAAAGCTCAGCAATGTTGGAGCTAAAGTAAAGGGAGACAACCCAAATCCAAAATGGCGGACGAGAAGTGTTCTCACGCCAGGATGCTCCTTCAACTTGCTAGATCTCTTGGCATGATAAAACCGACACCTTGGCTAAAGGTAGGAATGAACATGTAGACTTCACTTCCAAATTGCGTCTTACCTGGACTCACTAGCGAGTTTATAAAAAGCTAGCAGAGGCTTGTTTTGTACTCGTTGACGCCGCTGTCAAAACAACACCATTTGTCCCTGCCCACCTGTAACTGGGTACATCTAATATTATTTTTTAGTAACAGTAACACCAACTTAAAACATTTCATACTTCCATGTTTGTGATAATCGCCCAGCAAAAGAATGGATCATAATATCTTTAACACATGACACAACGGTTTTCCTCAGCTGAAGACATTATTTGCCCAAATGTTTATTCATTTGGCAAAAATACCAATAAACAGGGATAGAAAATTAAATCTCAGTGATCTGTAACAATTTTTCATGAACATTTTTTTTTCAAAATATGTATATATTTATGAAAATGTTTGTTTACCAGTAAATGATCACCCTACTTACACAGTGACACTGTTGCAGGCACTAATTGCAATATCTAGACCTAGACTGGAATGTAGGCCATGTTTATGCCTGGTGTGATATATTGCTACATTAAACTATTATCAACCAGTCCTATACATGCTATGTTAGCAAACCGCCACCGTCTAACTTGTCTTTGCTTAGTGGAGTAGACAGCCTCCGTGGTCTTGTGGTAGAGCATCCGCCCGGAGAGCGGAAGGTCCGGGGTTCGATCCCCGGCTGTGTCATACAAAAAGACGTTAAAAGATGGTACTTGTTGTTACCCTGTCTGGCGCTCGGCATGAGGGGGCTTAAACAAGGACTGGTCTTGTGGTAGAGCATCCGCCCGGAGAGCGGAAGGTCCGGGGTTCGATCCCCGGCTGTGTCATACAAAAAGACGTTAAAAGATGGTACTTGTTGTTACCCTGTCTGGCGCTCGGCATGAGGGGGCTTAAACAAGGACTGGTCGGCTCGGAGTCAGTATACTGTGTCTGAGTGGGGTATTCATGTTAAACTGCGGCATGGTATCTCAGTGAGCTAGCACTATAAATCGGCATCAATCCGGACTAGTACAAACAGCCACACACATACATACACGTGCATGCACGTTGCTATATAAGAGCAATAATCTTGGACGCGACGTTAAACCCAATTTCACCTCACCTTAGTGGAGTATTGTTAATGTTGGTTTATCACGTTTTTGTAGCATATACTTTGGTATACATATTTTCTAAAATTAAAAAATCATTTCAACTGTGCATTGAATGCTGTATTGTATAACTACAGGTAATAAATTATAATTTATATTTGAAGTAGACTTGCTGCTGAACATTGGCCTCTGAGAATGCCTAGATAAATCTGTGGATGTAGTTAGCAAGCCTCAACCAGTCCATAAGTTTGAATGTTTGCCATGTCATAAGGGAAAAGTACTGATGTTGTTCCCATGTTGCAGGTGAGTCGGCTGCTAAACCTGTGCCCAACTTTATCCCGCGGAACTCTGAAGCTGGACCAGCGAGGACAAGATGCAGTCATTGCGCTGGGCGTTTACTTCCTGGAGTCCGGCCTGCAGGTCTGTCTACACCTTCATCTCACTCATGAAATCATAGTGAGTGAGTTGGGTTTAACGCCGCTTTTAACAGTATTACAGTTATATTGCGGCGTGTCAGTTTAATGTGGGAGGAAAGCCGAAAGTGATGCAGGTCTCAGACATTTACCATTTCGGTGAAACCCACGAGCACAGGTATGGTGCTGACAAACCTGGAAACATAATCGGGGCGAACCAGGATTCGAACCCACAATCATAGGTTTCTGGCGTGCCCAAAGGTCGCAACTCTGCACAGCGAATAGTGGCGCCTTAGACGACTGGGCCACCCGTGCCCCCTCACCATCATAGAATCATACAGATTAGAAATGTCATTCTAGAACTCTTTCACAATATGTGTTTATGTCTTATATGAGATATCAACATTTTGTACAGCCCCTTTAAGGATGATGATAAAATGTACAAGCTTGAAACATATTTACCCATATTTTAAAAATAACTCCCTCAATACCATCCAACCTTAGCAATGTCGGACAAGTCCATTTTATGCACAGGTGGATATTTCCTGCAAATTCTCGCAATCCTCATGTCGATCACCTGTACCTTTTCTCCCAATACCGCTTGTCATTTCTCTCCAACTTTTGAATGCAATCGTTCAGCCATCGCATTTTTCTGCATTGCCTAGCTACATCTATGAGGAACAAATCACTGGACACTCCCCTCTCAAAAATAACGTCATCCAATATACAACGCCATCAAGTTGCAAGCAGATGTTCGATTCTCAAAAGAGGACGTCAAGATAGAACAATGTTATATCGTGAAATAAATTACACTTCGTTCTTCAATTGTTCTTTGCAATTTATCCCATAGCTATCTCATATCTACTGATAAAATATTCGCTTCAGTACAAGGACAAGATTCTCCCCTATCTTCTGAGTGTGCTGCAGGGGCTATCCAAGGCCCAGTGGGTGGAGGGACCTCGTGGTCTCAACAAATACAGTAAGTGCTCAGTAGGGCTGTCGAAATTTACTACCTGGGTACCCCCCATAGAGAGTCTTTCTGTTGTAATTGTTTGATCCAGTGAGATTGAGAGTCTCTCTGTTATGATGTTTGATCCAGTGAGATTGAGAGTTTCTCTGTTATAATGTTTGATCCCGAGAGTGAGTGTCTTTCTGTTATGATGTTTCATCCAGAGACTGAGAGTCTTTCTGTTATAATGGTAGATCCAGTTGAAGTATTTCTGTATGTTCTTCAGAGCTGCCAATGCCGGAGTGTTTCAGTTTCTGCCTCAACACCATCCTCAGTGATGTGGCCTTTCGTGATGCAGAACTAAAGAATCAGGTGATACACTTACCCATTGTTGCTTTTTCTTCAGTTTATTCAATATTTAGACACACCCAATGCCAAATGTTCCTCTTAGTGTCATTTTCAGTCGAGTTTAGTGTAATATATTGACTATTATTAGCTGAGCTTACTAGACCAAACAGACTCAGGCTTTGGACTTGTGGCTAAAGTCACAGACTGCAAACTGTTGTGAAGTGAGTTATGAACCTCAAACATCACCAGGGCACCGTTCCACAAAGTGATCTTAGCGCTAAGATGATCGCAACTCCCATACTGTCACATATATTTACGGCAGTCCTAGTGGTAAGATCACTTCGTGGAACGGGCCCCTGGTTGAGAACAGGATCCCTGCATCTACTTGCTGGTCACCAGAGATGACAGAATTGGATTGGGTGGTCGGCCTCTGTGAGTGATTCATTGTGTGTCATCGTGGTCCAATAGTGTGGACGATGCTGTCAGGTCCTAGTTTGCCTGATCTCAGTAGTTTACGGGCCGCTGGGGTACAGCAGAAGCATTGCAGTGGCAGCGTGTAACACAACTCACTTAGTTCCATACATTACAGACCCGTGAAGATCCGGGGTAGAATAGCTCTTCAGCAACCCATGCTTGCCGTAAAAGGCGACTGTGCTTGTCGTAAGAGGCGACTAATGGGATCAGGTGGTCAGGCTCGCTGACTTGGTTGATGCATGTCATCAATCCCAATTGTGTGGATCGATGCTTATGATATCAATCACTGGATTGTCCTGTCCAGACTTGATTATTTACAGACCGCCGTCATATAGCTGGAATATTGCTGAGTGCGGCGTCAAACAACAAAACAACCAACAACCATACATTACATGGAGGATGAAACCTGTAGGCTCTGTCACATGTGTTTTCTCTTACTAATAAATGCCTAGTAGCAGAGCTCCAGATAAGCTTTTGGTGTTGTGGGTATTTTACCCATGCATTTTTAAATCATTGGGTATCAGTGATTCTATCTGGGTATTCAAATTTCTGTTACCCACTAGTTTTTACACATGTGGGTATTTAAGTTAAATATTTAAAAACAATATTCATCTAGTCCCTGCAAACTGGTGTTGTGTGAGTTCGAGAGCTTTAAATGACTAAAAAATACCACGATACTTCCACACAAAAGTGTGACGGCAAATGATCATGATGTAACTGTCATCGTGGAGTTTGGCAAGGTTGACAGGATGCCCGTTTATAATTTCAAAATAAGATGCTGATTTGCTTATCAAATACGCAGGGTTACTTCACAATATTTTGATGATACACACAAGTTTTATTTTTGTACCGTATCTGTAATGTTCGTTGTGTATTTGATACGCTTGGATTTTATTTTACTGCATATTTCTCCATTTCTGATGCGTATTTTACGCAGATACGCAGCTTATCTGGAGCTCTGTAGTAGTGGGATGATACACCAATTCATCATTGGATCGCAATTTTTTACTTCTCGATGAAGTATGCAACAGTCACACAATAAGTAAAAAATATCAATTCTAACCTTAAATGTTAGCTTTAATAACTGTTACAGTAACACTAATTAGTAGTGAAAAGGTATCATCCATTGTGCTATACTTGACAATGGCAACTGTAAATTGTCAGGTGCCAGGTATTTGGACGTCCTGTCTATGAAAAACATGGCTTACGCACAACAGATAAGAGCACATGCAAAAGTTGTGACGTATCGGATCTTGAGCAAGGTATCGCGATACGTATGGGATCACACATTCACACTGTCGCTATCGGAATTTACTACTGTACATAAAGATAAGGGTTGGCAAAGTTGATTCTAGCCGTTGATCTCATAAGAACAGTACATGTCCTAATGTCCTGCAAATTGTCCTTTCTATCAGATTATCTCAACCCAGTTGGATGTGATGGAGGTTCTCACTAAACTGTGTGAAGGAGCATTTGAAATTCCTAAAGGTAAGATAGTGAGGTGTTCTTCATTAGCCATGGCTAATTATCTCATGGCGGCATTAGTGAAAGGACAGAACATCTCTCTATTTCAGATGCTACTTATAATTATGTCCCTGTGAAGATCCTGGTTAGAATTGATCTGGGGGTACGGGTGGCCCAGTCGTCTAAGGCGCCGCGATTCGCTGTGCAGAATTGCGTCCCTTGGGCACGCCAGAAACCTATGATTGTGGGTTTGAGCCCCAGTCCGCCCCGATTATGATTCTAGGTTTGTAAGCACCGTACCCGTGCTCGTGGATATCACCGAAGTGGTAAACGTCTGAGAGCTGCATCACTTCGAGCTTTCCTCCCACATTAAGCTGACACGCCGCGATATAACTGTAATACTCTTAAAAGCAGTGTTAACCCAACTCACTCATTCACTAGAATTGATCTTCAGCAACCCATGCTTGTCGTAAGAGGCGACTAACGGGATCGGGTGGTCAGACTCACCGACTTGATTGATGCTTCATATCTCAATTCCTACATCGATGCTCATGATGTCAATCACTGGAATGTCTTGTCCAGATTCCATTACTTGCAGACCGCCGACTGCTGAAATATTGCTGAATGCAGCTTGAAAAAACAGACAAACAAATCTAATAATTATATTGCAGAGTAAAACTAAGTAAAATATCTATTGAAACTTATTTAAATATACTGCTGGTACTCTACCATGCTCAATTCCTGTAATATAAAGAACAGCTCTTTACAAAGTGGAACAAGATCTTACTTTTCATTGGAAGGACATTAATTGAAAGTGAAGGAAATATTTTTTTCTGCTTTGTGAAGAAGGTGCAAATGCAAATTTTAAAGTTAAATATTTTATCTTACCATGACTCATACTTATTGCTATTCATGTGGAGGACAAAAATGCTGTCCGATGCAGTTCCCTATTTTGACATGTCCCCATATGTTCCCATGTTTTTTCAGGTGAACAATTGACTTGCCTTTGCATGTGTTTGTGATGGGTGACATCTGTTGGGCAGGATGGGCTCACCTATTCTCGAACACCTGGTATCATTATTATTTGATGGTGATTCAAAAACACATGCCCATGATATAGTCGGAATCATACAGTTGACTCTGGTTTATGCAGAGATTTCTATTGGATATGGAAAGGGTTTTGTCGCTTTATTTATTTCTACTCATTTGTTTTAATTACTGTAAATACAACGACCCAATACTGCTTTGAAATTCTTCCTCAGAAACACTAGCTTCATCAATTGTCCCAATACTCATCGGTATGGCACGAGCTGTTGGACGTTCCAGTGATGAAGAGCGTCCTCTCATATCCTACGTCCTCTCCATCAACACGGGGAAGCCCTACCCAGTACAAGAGGACAACAATCCGACATCCAAGCGAGCTTTCAGCACATTTCGGCCAATCCTGCCCAGAACACTCTCGTCTCTTGTGATAAGCTCAGACAGCCCTAGTCCCACCAGCCCCTCCCCAACAAACCTGGACTACGTGGACGGCCATCGGGAGAGGTCTCCGTCGCCTCTGTCTGTTTCCATGAGGGATGGGTTGAACGTAGAGGACAAGGTTGATCCTGCTTCAACATACTTCAACAAAGTGGGATCAAGCTTTACTCGGACGAAACCGTGGGGATTTGAAATTATCCCAGAACAAGATCATTTGCCATTTTCCAGTGCCCATTTGCAGACGCTGGTCAGTGTGGTGAGTATGTTGTAACTTCATCAAGGGAGCCCACCATCCCTGGCCCCAAGTCTGCAGCAAATGTCAGTAAGCATTCCCAAATTGGAAATGAACATTTCCCAATTCATGCTGTTATCATGGTTAGAGTTGTAGCTTATGTCATGGCTTTGTATTTCACTGACAACCGGACCACTATAGATGAAGAGGTTTTAATGCTTAGCTTAACATTATTGCATTGAATGTAATTGTTAAAATTCATTGTTGACATTCCTCTAAATTTATGAAAATTAAAACTGAAAAAAATCCCAATTTTGAACAAATATTTGTTTCGAATCCCAGGTAAATCCCAGGGACTCGTTCCATAAAGCGATCATACTGATAGGATGATTGTAATTCTCATACTGTAACATAGACCGTCGTAGCATTACGAACAGTTTATGGAACAGACTCGGCATCTGTGATGCTAGTACTACAGGTTGATCTGGTGATACTGGATGGTGATGGATGGAGGCCATGTTGAAGTAAATGTGTTTTGTTGACAGGCAAAGCGGCTGCTGGGCAAGGAGGTCTTGAAGAACCTGGACACAATGGTGCACGACGTCCTCACGGACTCCTCACTCAAGGTGTGTGTTTGTTACTGCTGCTGCTGCTGCTACTACTACTACTACTACTCTTCTACTACTACTACTACTAGTCCTACTCCTACTACTACTACTCTACTACTACTACTACTACTCTACTACTACTACTACTACTACTACTCCTACTCCTACTACTACTCCTACTACTCCTACTACTACTCTACTACTACTACTACTACTCTACTACTACTACTACTACTACTACTACTACTACTACTACTCCTCCTACTACTACTACTACTACTACTACTCTACTACTACTACTACTACTGCTTCTGCTGCTACTACTACTCTTCTACTACTACTACTACTACTACTACTACTCTACTACTATTACTACTACTGCTTCTGCGACTTCAACTACTACTACTACTACTCTTCTGCTGCTACTACTACTACTACTACTACTACTACTCTTCTACTACTACTACTACTACTACTACTACTACTACTCTACTACTACTACTACTCCTGCTACTACTACTACTACTACTCCTACTCCTACTCCTACCCCTACTACTTCTACTACTACTACTACTACTACTACTGCTCCTGCTGCTACTACTACTCCTACTACTACTACTACTACTACTACTCTACTACTACTACTACTACTACTGCTTCTGCTACTACTACTACTACTCTTCTACTACTACTCCTACTACTACTCCTACTGCTACTACTACTCTACTACTACTACTGCTTCTGCTGCTACTACTACTACTACTACTACTCTTCTACTCCTACTACTACTACTCTTCTACTCCTACTACTACTACTACTCTACTACTACTACTACTACTTCTACTCCTACTACTACCCCTACTATTCCTACTACTACTACTCTACTACTACTACACTACTACTACTACTACTACTACTACTCCTACTACTACTACTACTACTACTCTACTACTACTACTACTACTGCTTCTGCTGCTACTACTACTCTTCTACTACTACTACTACTACTACTACTACTACTCTACTACTATTACTACTACTTCTTCGGCGACTTCAACTACTACTACTACTACTCTTCTGCTGCTACTACTACTACTACTACTACTACTACTCTTCTACTACTACTACTACTACTACTACTACTACTACTCTACTACTACTACTCCTGCTACTACTACTACTACTCCTACTCCTACTCCTACTCCTACTCCTACTCCTACCCCTACTACTTCTACTACTACTACTACTACTACTACTTCTACTGCTCCTGCTGCTACTACTACTCCTACTACTACTACTACTACTACTCTACTACTACTACTACTACTACTACTACTGCTTCTGCTACTACTACTACTACTCTTCTACTACTACTCCTACTACTACTACTACTCCTACTACTACTACTACCCCTACTACTCCTACTGCTACTACTACTCTACTACTACTACTACTGCTTCTGCTGCTGCTACTACTACTACTACTACTACTACTCTTCTACTCCTACTACTACTACTACTCTACTACTACTACTACTACTACTACTCCTACTACTACCCCTACTATTCCTACTACTACTACTACTACTACTCTACTACTACTACACTACTACTACTACTACTACTACTACTCCTTCTACTCACTACTACTACTTTTACTACTACGTTTCTTACTACTACTACTACTACTGCTACTACTAACATTGGGAGAGTACCAGGGTTTGCTGCCAGGAATACAGCCCTTGTGGCAATCTGGGAAATGCAGAAGGCTGCAGTGTTGGGGAGTTTTCACATTCTCTGAAAAGTTCTGCGTGGGTTCGTCTAGGCAGTGCTTCCTGGGAGAAGTCCCATTCGCTGTCTGGGCAAGGGCCCGGAGTTGATGATGAGCCTAACCAGCCTGACTGCCAGGATCACCCAAACCCTCTTTGCTGAATTATTTATTTTAATCTGTAAATAATAATAATTGATAATAATAATAATGTTTATATAGCCAAATCCACACTCTAGGCATGCTAGTGGACGAAAACTGTTTGTTTCTAACGCTGTAAGGTTGTTCATATTAAATTGTTTGATAGGCATTACTTAGAAGTTGACGGATGACAAGTTAGACACAATTTTATGGCTTTTCACAGTATTAAAGAAGTTGTTATCCATAAAATTGTGCTATGTTGTTCATATTGTCTTCATGTCTATCTTGTTCCTCCTTAGTTGATCAAAAGTATGCTTCATATTATCAACAATGTCTGATGGTAATTTTTTCTAAAAAGATATGATACCTTAGTGTGCCTTGTGCCACTTGTAACTTTTATTTGTGCCATTTGCGTTTCAATAGAAGAAATTACGAAGCCTGATGGTGTAAAACTATGACCACTTTCTCACTCACTCATTTCAGTGTATCAACCTGTCCCGGTTCCCATACAAGTCTTACAGTGAGACCATCACTGTTGTCATCGTCACTCTGCTCCGAGATGTGCTGGAACAGGAAAAAGGTAGATCATTTTACACATAGTGAGGACTCATTGTTAGATGTTGCTATTCAGGGACTCTAGGAATCCTTTGACATTCAGCTTGCCTCTGCTAGAGCTGATGACTGGTTACCGAGGAAGGTAATACCGGGTCAGCGTCTGATGCCGTTGTGCATGTTGTGAACTCATACACATCGTCCCCTGTTGAATTGGAATTAAGACTCCACATCCTTGCTGTCTTCCCGTGGGAGGAAACACTGATTGTAGACCTTGTAAACACGGACTCCGTGATCTTCAGATGACAGTAATTTATTACATTTATGAATGGCACAATGAAACACAATTTGTAGTTTGTGGGTTGGAGTTATGATTGAGCCCTGGAACACCATGGGGATTCCGGTCCGATAAAGTCCCATTGTGCCCCAGTGGCTTGGATCCTTGCTTGTCATTGTGCCCCAGTGACTTGGATCATTACTCATGCTTATAGTCACTGGGTTGCCTTGACCAGACTTGATTATTTCAAGGCAACCTTAATATCACTGAGTCCAAGACAGTGATGCAAGATGATAATGTACCTGCAGATCTGCCGCTGTCCTTCATGAAGGAGATTGAGGATTTCGTGAAGATGTTGTACCAGTCAGGTCAGCATGACCTTGAGAAGAAGCACGCCCATGCCCACAAGGAGCAGGACAAGGTGTGGGACTTCAACCCCTACCAGCTGACGGTCTATAGTAACGCTGCGTGTGTCGACCTGCTCTTCTGGGCCATCAGGGGGGAGTCAGGTAAAGTAATACACAGATTGTGTGAGTTTCTTCTGGGCCATCAAGGGGGAGTCAGGTAAAGTAATACACAGATTGTGTGAGTTTCTTCTGGGCCATCAGGGGGGAGTCAGGTAAAGTAATACACAGATTGTCTGAGTTTCTTCTGGGCTATCGGGGGGAGTGAGGTTCAAGTAATACACAGATTGTGTGAGTTTCTTCTGGGCCATCAGGGGGGAGTCAGGTAAAGTAATACACAGATTGTGTGAGTTTCTTCTGGGCCATCGGGGGGGAGTCAGGTAAAGTAATACACAGATTGTGTGAGTTTCTTCTGGGCCATCAGGGGGGAGTCAGGTAAAGTAATACACAGATTGTGTGAATTTCTTCTGGGCCATCAGTTGAGTCAATTAGAGCAGTTCATGTGACCTGAATTTCAGTTTCCAAACACTATTATAAGATAAGATAAGATGATATGAGATGAGATGAGATAATGTTTTATTACCCATGATGGAATTTGCCTTACCTCAAACAGAGTTCACAGGTGCATAAAATAACAGCAAAAATTACCAAAACAGTTGCTGAGCCCTACTGATGCAGACAGGAGTATGTTAGTTACCATAGTTACCCTTCTAGAACAAACATTCTAGAAACGTCTGTCCTTTGGGCAATTCAAGAACATCCCATGGCATGTTTTACTCACATTCTTATGTCATGCTAGCCATCTCAATGACTGAAAAACTTCAGAGAGTTGAGATACAATAATTATAATGATATCTAGCCAGTGATACAGGTCTCCATCCTATAACTTGGATATTGCTGAGTGCGGCATTGAACAAGAATAAAACTTAGCGCAAGATGAAGAAGGATGTGAATGTGTTTGCAGAGGCGGAGAACCTGTGCATGAAGCTGAGCGAGAAGATCAGTATGAACACCGAGAGGAAGCTGCTGCTGTCTCACACGCCTCTCATCCTGGTGGCACTCGAGGTCAGTCCCTCTGTACTACCGATACTCAATAGTTAGACCACCGACTCTATCATAATACCATAGGGGCGGTGGGTCGGTTAAAGCCTTTGCTTGTCACGCCGAAGACCCGGGTTCCATTCCCCACATGGGTACAATGTGTGAAGCCCATTTCTGGTGTCCCCTGCCGTGGCATTGCTGGAATATTGCTTAAAGCGACGTAAAACCATACTCACAATAATAAGATTTTTTTTGTTCTGATATTGTACTGTATTCCTGTTATACTTTTACTTCAAGAGAAAAAGTCTCATTGCTCCCTCCCTTCATCCTGTGCAGGCTATGGGGCGGTCGGGTAGCCTAGTGGTTAAAGCGTTCGCTCATCACGCCGAAGACCCGGGTTCGATTCCCGACATGGGTACAATGTGTGAAGCCCATTTCTGGTGTCCCCCACCGTGATATTGCTGGAATATTGGTAAAAGCGGCGTAAAACCAAACTCACTCACTCACTCACTGTGCAGGCTATAGGCAAGCTGGCGGTGAAGTTCCCCAACCTGGCCAGCACAATGGTGTCCACGCTGCGAGACTTCCTCGTCAGCCCTTCGCCCATCCTCAGTAAGCTGAACAAGTACGCTTCGGCAGAGAGTGGGTCTGGCAGCATCAAGATCACGGTGACGGATGAGAGCAAGACCGCAGTGACCACGCCCAAGAAGAAACCAGAGAAAAACAAACTGCTAGCCACACTTGAGAACCTTCGCGACAACGCAATACATAACATCTGCAGGTGGGATAATTATGTAAAATGTGTCATTTTCTTTGGGTGTAATCTGCCTGGGATTCATTGTTGGAATGGGTCCTTAGCTACCTATGGTGGTTGTAAGGGGCGACTTAATGGATCTGGTGGTCAGACTTGGTTGTGTCATCATTCCGAGAGTGTGGATTGTTGCTCATAATATCGATCACTGTTTTATCTGGTCCTAACTAGATAATTTAGAGGCCGCATTATACGGATGTAATACTGCTTTAAAAAGCCATCCATTAATTGTCGTCCATATGTGTATCACTTCTAAATGTCTTTCAAAGACTTAAAACAGAAAACAGATTGTAATTTGTAAAAGTGTGAAACTGGGGAAATATTTTCACAGGTATGCCATATGTGACATGTGAAGCAACTTGCATCATTTGGTATATACCAACATGGTTCAAAATAAATATGTTGGCCATATTTCATCTAGTCAAGGGAGGGGCACAGGTGGCGAGGTCATCAAAGGCGCCGCGATTTGCTGTGCAGAGTTGCGTCCCTTGGGCACGCCAGAAACCTACGATGGTTGGTTTGAAAATCCCGGTTCGCCCCGATTATGTTTCTAGGTTTGTCAGCACCATACCCGTGCTCATGGGTTTCACCAAAGTGGTAAACGTCTGAGACCTTCATCACTTCGGGCTTTTCTCCTACATTAAGCTGACATGCCATGATATAACTGGAGTACAGTTAAAAGCAGCGTTAAGCCCAACTCACTCACTCACTCCAATCGAGGGCCCCACTCCACAAAGTGATCTTAGCCCAACAACTGTCGTAATGCTTATACCTTAACATTGACTTACGACAGTCGTAGCGCTACGATTGCTTCGTGAAATAGGGCCCAGTACTGTAACTGGTTATATGGTCAATGAAAGTCGTTAATCAGGGTTTGAAATGAACACAAGTCCGCTCGTCCAAGACAAGTAACATTCAGGATGGACTAGTGCCAGTTCCTTGTAGACCACCACTTTTACCTTTCATCAGATAGCAACTGACTTGATCAGATAATAGTTCAGTAAGGGTGGAAACTGGACTTTTATAGTCAGTTGATGCCCTTGCCTCGGGAAGTTGTCCAACATCAACCTGAGACATTTTCATGTAAGTTAAATTCTCTTCAAACTCAACTCACTCACCCACTCCTACACTGTTCTTCTGTGCACAGGGCCCTGAAGGCCGGCCTCCAAGAGGACCCTGACTGTGTCCAGGCCTTCCTGGCCTCCCTCTCCAACAGGCTGTACCGTGCCGAGATGAGTGACAGGTGGGTGCTGCCTTAGCTGCCAATATCGGCTTGTGGGAAATGGATATCTTTTCACTTAAATTCTTGTATCAGGGATTTATCTGGACCTGCTCAGAGGCTGATATTCAACCCCATGTCTGCAGCATTGTTGGTAAAAATTCTAAAATTGGAACTAAAAAATTCCAAAGAGAAAAAAACAAGATGAGGCTTTAATGCTTAGTTTTTTCATTGAATGGAATGTTAAAGAACCCATAATTTGAGAAAATAAGTTTTAAAAAAATCCCACTCTTGAACCAAATTATTCTTTTGTCCAAATGGTCTGCCAAGGGCACTAGATAAATCCCACCTAAATTGTTTTTTCTTTGAAGGTGTATTTTATTATCAAAGGTGTTGACATAGATTATTTGACCTGTGTTTTTATAATTTTCTGAAGGATATGTTTGATTAATGACTTGAAGAATTACAGTAATTTGTCTGCTAGAATGCATCTGTTTTGCTCTATTCACGTATGTCCTGAGTAGCACCAGGGTGCCGTTGTTCAAGACGACCTCAGCGCTACGACTGTCGTAAGTCAGTTTTGAGGTATGGGAGTTACGATGACCTTAGCGCTAAGATCTCTTTGTACAAAGGCACCCAGGTTGATATGTATGTCTTGCATGAGGATGTTGATTGTTTAGTAGCTGCATTGTATGCATCCTGAATGCATGGAGTCACTATTGTTTGGATATTGTTCATAGCTGCCCTAGGCCTTGTATGATAGTATGCCTCTATACACGTGTCCTGCTAGACCTTACCTCTTGCCAATAATTTATTGATCAGCATGTTTTCCTGAATATAGAATTTTCGTAGGATACCTAAAACTTATGCAAGATAAGGTTTGATTGTCATATTGAGCATGTTGAGTAAGTGAAATCACCACATGTAATAAATATGTTCTCTCTGAAATCATAGGATGGAATAGTCAGGCAAATGATCTAGATCAGTCCTCTTTGGGAATTCCAGTATATTGGCTGGTCAATTTCTGATATGGCTGGACTATTTCTGATGTGGCTGGGCTATTTCTGATATGGCTGGACTATTTCTGATGTGGCTGGGCTATTTCTGATATGGCTGGGCTATGTCTGATATGGCTGGGCGATTTCTGATATGGCTGGACTATTTCTGATGTGGCTGGGCTATTTCTGATATGGCTGGGCTATGTCTGATATGGCTGGGCTATTTCTGATATGGCTGGGCTTTTTTCTGATATGACTGGGCTATTTCTGATGTGACTTGGCTATTTCTGATATGGCTGGGCTATTTCTGATATGGCTGGGCTATTTCTGATATGGCTGGGCTATTTCTGATATTGGGGCACGGATGGCCCAGTCGTCTAAGGCGCCGCGATTCGCTGTGCAGAGTTGCGTCACTTGGGCATGCCAGAAACCTATGATTGTGCGTTCGAATCCTAGTGTGCCCCGATTATGTTTCTAGGTTTGTCAGCACCATACCCATGCTCGTGGGTTACACTGAAGTGGTAAACGTCTGAGACCTGCATCACTTCGGGCTTTCCTCCCACATTAAGCTGACGCGCCGTAATATAACTGGAATACTGGTATCAAAATTACTGATGCAGTGTGTTTATGCAATATTCTTTTACCCTTTCTGTGACCCGGTCATCTAAGCGTGATTGCCTACATGTCTTGTGTATAGAGCGTCTGCCAAGAGAGCGAAAGGTCAGTGGTTCAATCCCCAGTCGCATCATACCAAACAAGGGGCGGTCGGATAGCCTAGTGGTTAAAGCGTTCGCTCGTCACGCCGAAGACCCGGGTTCCATTCCCGACATGGGTACAATGTGTGAAGCCCATTTCTGGTGTCCCCCGCCATGATATTGCTGGAATATTGCTAAAAGCGGCGTAAAACCAAAACTTACTCACTCACTCATACCAAACAATGTTAAAACATGGTACTTCTTGTTACCCTGCCGGGAGCTCAGCATTAAGAGGATAAGTCAAGGACTGGTCGGGTCGGAGTCAGTATGCTGTGTCTGAGTGGGGAATTCATGTTAAACTGCGGCGGTGTCTGAGTCAGCTAACACTATACAAACAGCATTAGTCTGGTCTGTTACAAGCAGCCACACACAGTTGCGTGCACATTGCTATGTAAGTGCAATGACATTTAACCCCATTTCACCTCACAATATCACCTCGTCTTAGGTGCTGCAATTGGCAGTGTTGCTTCCCTTAGTTGAGCCAGGATCCTATGAAAATTGAATCCAAGACTCACCAGACTATGATCATTCAATTGGTTTATAAGCAGTCACTCATTCATTTTCCTAAAATAAATTTAGTTTATTAATTCTGATTGATATATTTCCCCAAAATTTATACCATTATGACACTAGGCAATTGAATTCCAGTCTCTAGTTGATCCCTAACCATGCTTACATACTTTTTACAAGTTTACTATTTTTGTTTGAGGTGCATGCATGGCATGAGGTGTAGATTGGCTGTTTCTGTTGTTTATTCTTCACCGCTATGTTTGTGCCCTATCAGAGCTGTGAGCAAGTCTGCAGAGGTCCGCTGGCAGCAACTGAAAATGGTCTTGAAATTTGTGCGCCCCAGCTCATCTCAAATCAGCCCCAAGGATGTAGACAGGCAATCTCCTGTTAACCTACCTGAACTACTTAGTACAGTGATCATGGCAAATTTGTCTGCATAATTCACATTTACACTGCATTTCAAAACTTTCGCATATTAAAAAATTATATCATTTCCTCTACGAAAAGTGTACAGACACACCATTAAAATGCATATAATTTTTTCAAGCATTAGGCAAGAAGTTTTTTGTGCTCAAGACCATCTCTAAACACATCGGATAAAATTCAAACCCATACGACGATGATTTGATTTTCTCATACACTGATCACCTTATTTTGATTTTTGTGGCCATTTTGCAAAATATTACATAAATTTGAATATGTGTTTTCAAAGTGGTGCAGTGTTTATTTAGATGTGTGTGGAAACGATACCTTGAAGTGCGGTGGCCATTGCGTCAGTGGCAGCTACTTTCATATTTATGATGGATTTCTTTTCTAGCTTTGCGTAACATGCATTAATTGATCAATTATCTTTAGTATTTGGTTTTGGAAAAGATCCACAATTGTTCATGTGTATGAGCAAACAATGCTGAATTTTAATAATCCTTCAATGTAGATAAGTATGATTAAGATAAAAAAGATATATCCATATTAATGTTATTAAGCTATGGAATAAATGCAGGAATTAAATTACCAAATATTTAAATTCAACACTTTTTTAATGTCCTTAACTTTTTGAACTATTTTTGTAATTATTTTCTGATAGCTGCGTTACTTATTAGCTCACCTTAACAGGCAGTTAACCAGAGCTCATTTCATGACGTGTTGCCTGTCAGCTGTTATCTTTCAACAATAGATTGTGAAAGAATTGCAATGCTGAATTTTTCAAAGTTTACGAAAGAAAATCAATGTTTGAAATTTACCGTTGGTCTTGTTTAAGAAAGAAGGTTGGTAATTGCAGCTTCTTTGATGGTTATTCCATCAGCATCATATTTTGGTCTGATGGCGCTGATTATTTTGATGATGGCATCCATTGGTTCCTTTATAAATCAACTGGCAAACATTTGTTAATAACAGTTTCAATAATTGCAGTTTAAATCTTGTCCTACAGAGAGATTCCAAAACGAAGTGATCGCATTTGCATGTAATTATTTAGAAGAAAGTCGTGAAGAGTTCCAATGTTATGTGAAGCATGTACAGATTTGGCATGATCTTGATTTTCTGACACTCCTAATAACATTTTGTGTGATATTGCAGCATCTTGGCACGTGTTGACCTATAACCCTGTATTGTCATTTCTTGCTTTGCCGATCTCATTAAAATCGTAGCTTAGTTTCCGATGCAGCTAAAGATATAAGGACATCCCATAACAAGTCACGTCAGATCACGTGTGGCTAGCCAGATCGGGAACGTGACAATCGGAATGTGTTTTCAGATCATGCAGCCTTGAAAAAGTTAACAGAGGGTATTTCGAAAGACAGTTACCCTCTGTACTACTGATTCCGTCAAAATCATCTATCTCTCACTTCAATGGGATTAACTTTGGAACGGAAGTACTGCCTCTAATCTCGGCCATATATTAGGCATTCCTGAATCTTTCAGTTTACAAATTTTGAATAATATTTTTCAAAACATAGTCTAGAATGGAAGTCCCCAGATTGAAACTTGGCTGCAAAGCTTGAGAAAGCTGCTTTCTGACTGGGTAATGTCGAATTCTGGTTACCTAGTCATTTCATTGGTTGCGGTCAAAGTTCGGGAAAGGTCGTCCTGACATGACCTGTAATGGGATGTCCTCAGATTTTTGGTGTAGCGCTGAGATCTGATTTTAATGACATTGTGTTTTTGCTTGTCTGTTGCGTGTTGGTTTCATGTGGTTGTCTGCTGAATAACTGATATTGTCTTGCTAATTGTTATTTCTACAGCCTGTGGAGACTATGGTTCTAATGACGCATAGAGATGCTAATTGTAGATTTATTCTCATACCACTGTATACTGGAGCTTTATATATGCATATTGTTCGGTGAGATGCACTATGTATACTGAACAAAAATAGTTAGGGATGATAAATATTTGGGGGATATTTTTTGTCGTGAAGACTGAGCACATTGATATATACACCATGAAGATCCACGGTAGAATAGGTCTTCAGTATCCCATGCTTGCCTGGTGGTTAAAGCGTTCGCTCGTCATGCCGAAGACCCGGGTTCGATTCCCGACATGGGTACAATGTGTGAAGTCCATTTCTGGTGTCCCCCGCCGTGATATTGCTGGAATATTGCTAAAAGCGGTGTAAAACCATACTCACTCACTCACCATGCTTGCCGTAAAAGGCGACTAACGGGATCGGGTGGTCAGGCTCGCTGACATGGTTGATGCATGTCATTGTATCCCAAATGCATGGATCGATGCTCATGATGTCAATCACTGGATTGTCTGGTCCAGACACGATTATTTACAGACCGTGTCATATAGCTGGAATATTGCAAAGTGCGGCATTAAACAAGAAACAAACAAACAAACAATCAAACAAACATTGATATATATCGCCAAAATATTCAATCATGATCTCTAACTCTTTTGTTCAGTATAAATGGTTACATTTTGCTTCATAGAATAAGCCTATTGCATAAGTAAATAATTGATAAGCTTGTCATAAAATAAAAATTGGATTCATTTAATGTTCTCTTAGAATATCTATGGCGGTCCATTTTATCTTGATTTGCATTTTTCATAACATGTTTCCTAACCTGAGTTACCGTTAATGTATTCTTAACATTCGTGAATTGGATTTGATCAGTTAACATTGAGTGTTTGGTGTGTGGGGGAAAATATGGTTGGATGGTATATGGTCATATTTGTTACTGCTTTTTTGTTTCCTCAAAAATAATACTATCAAAATTAGTGTGTTTAAAATCAGAATTGTAGCAGATTGTGTTTGATGTATAAACATTGACTCTATTGACTGAACCCGTTGCAACTACTGAAAGTGTAAAATCAAAACAAGTGTTTTATTAATTTTTAACAAACAGATAACCATTTTGATCGTTCACTTTTAAAATATATTTACAAAACCAGCACAGTCATATTAGGTGCCACAATTCACATTGCAGAGTTACATCCCTTAGTCTTGCCAGGATCCTTTGATCCTGGTTTTGAATCCCTGATTGTGATCCTTGTTTTGTCAGCTTTATACCCATGCTTGTGTCACAATGGGCTTTCTTCCAACATTAAGCTGAGACTCTTGTCAAATTCTGTGATAATATGTGGACTATTATTGCTAAGACCAAACCAAAGTCTCAGACAGAGATGTGAGTGGAATACTGTTGAAAGAGGAATAAAACAAAACGCAAAGCAATATGTGTAAAAGGCACTGAGTCCTGGAAGGAAAGCCCGTGAAGATTCCGGGGTAGAATAGGTCTTCAGCAACCCATACTTGCCGTAAAAGGCGACTATACTTGTCGTAAAAGGCGACTAACGGGATCGGGTGGTCAGGCTCGCTGACTTGGTTGATGCATGTCATCGATCCCAATTGCGTGGATCAATGGTCATGATGTCAGTCACTGGATTGTCTGGTCCAGACTCGATTATTTTACAGACTGCTGTCATATAGCTGGAATATTGCTGAGTGCGGTGTTTAACAACAAACAAAGAAATGAGTCCTGGAAGAAGTTGCATGACATGGCATAAAGTGTAGCTGCCCCTTGTCAATCCCTTTGGAGATTTATCTTTACATTTTCAAAGGCCGATATTCAGCCCCAATCCTGCAATGAATGTTAGACAAAATCCATATTTAAGTAAAATATACCCCAATCTCAGGCTGTCCTACCTTTAAACTTAATATTTTATGGCTTTGAATGTGACTTGGTTGGACATTATTGCATTTAATGCAGTGTTAGAGCATCACTAAGTGTAATGTGTATATGAACCTTACAACGTGAAGATCCGGGTTGAAACAGGTCTTCAGCAACCCATGTTTGCTGTAAAAGGCGACTATGCTTGTCTGAAGAGGCAATTAATGAGATCAGGTGGTCAGGATAGCTGACTTTGTACCCGAATGTGTGGGATGGTTCCTCATGTCCTCAATTACTTCTCTTGTCAAGACTTTGTTATTTACAGGCTGCCATCATATAGCTGACATATTGCTGAGTGTGGCTTTAAGCAACAAAGAATTAACAAACACTCTTTCAGGATCAGAATCCTTTTGTAAGAGCCAGCTGTAATAAAGATTGGGGGGGGGGGGGTCTATGAAGTGGCTGAAATGTTGTCCTGGCTGTTGCTTACACCACCCTCTACCACACTCTCTCGCAGTGCTCTGAGAGTCTGTGAGTCTCCAACAGTATTGTTAATGTTATGAACTAAAGATCACAAATCCAATATGAAATTTGTCATTTCCTCTCATTAACAAACTATTTACCATCCTGATTCTTTCAGCTAGTTATAGATTCTGTAGTAATCAACTTTCTAATAACCTGCATTAATTTTCTTGGTAACCATGGTAACACTTTCCTAAAAAAATCCATGAAAAGATGTACATGTAATGCTTATGGTAGCCAAATAATTAACAAAATTGAGTCAGCTGATCTATATAGTATCTGTTTTAATGGTTTTAATCTCTTTCTTCCCTCTGTTGTCTTGTTGATAAACAAATTCTTTTAAGTTTAGCATACCATATACATTTAAGTGTGGTGAATGTCTGTTTTATTTAAAGGAATGTTTTTTAACCAGATGTGGTTCGTTATAACAATGGGAATTGTTGTTTGTTTTTTTGCATGTGCATGTACATGTAACTAACAGGTTCACATGGTTTTCAAAATTTTGTTGATAGTAAACATTATAATTACAATTCTTTAACATGTTTCAAAATCAAATCAAATAATTTTGTTGTATTTCATGTATATCTATTATTCGCTTGGGCATGGTTCATTCAAAAATGCTCTCATGTTAACAGATATTTACAGTTTGATGGTACAGTGCTACTAGTTAGACTGATATGTGCACTGAGCAGTTTAACTCTGTTACTAATGTGTGTGTGTGTGGTACAGGGAGTCGACTCTGATCTCTACCAACACGATCCTGACCCTGGGGCACCTGGCCGTGGGGTTGAAGGACATCCCCAAGACCGTGGAGTCCATCCTCCAGATCTTCCTGCAGCGCTTCTGCTCCCCTCCCTCCCCACTGGATGTGCTCATCGTGGACCAGCTGGGCTGTATGATCATGACGGGATGTGTACGTAGCTGTAATAAAATCTTCCCCCTCTCAAAGGGAGAGGAGACATATTGTTTTTGCTTGGTTCCCTTCTCCCTTGGTGTTGGCATTCTCATCCCTTTCCAAGCCATAACTTGAAAAACTTTCCATGTATTTCAGTGAAACTTGGCATATACATTTCTTTTCAGCTAAACTGGTGCCTTTTGCTATTAAAATTTTTCCATTATTTTTTTTTATGTTTCCATGGAAACAATTTCGACTTAGTCTGTAGTAGTATATTTGGCTGTTATTGTTTTTCGGATTCACAAACACATTTACAGTACCAACTTGAGCTAATGTATAAAAAAACAGACAGGGAGACATGTTTCATGAGAATACATATTCTAGTTACTTTCTGCCTATGTGCTGGTTCTAAGCACCACTGGAGGCAGAGATTCCGGGTCAGAGTTGGTGTTCAGCAACAAATGCTGGTCGTAAGAGACGACTGAATGGATCGGGTCGTCAGGGTCAGTGCCTTGGTTGATAGCATGTCATCGTACCCCAACAGTGTGGATCGTTGCACACAATATCAATCACTAGATGTTTTGGTTGAGATTATTTGTAGACCATAGGCCATATAGCTGGAATATTGCTGAGTGCAGCGTTAAACCACAAACAAGCTGAAGGCGGAGATGCTGTATTTTCTTAAGGATAGTGCAACAGCTGTGTGGCGGTAGTCCCCATAATACCCACTACAATGAGTTTTGATGTTTTTTCCCCAACGCAAAGACATTATCGTGAGCTAGTAACACAAGAAGTACCATGGAATTATTTTCTTTCCAAAGCATTTTTCCGCTTTCATCCATTTCAGATTGCCATTACATTAATAAACAGATTTGCTTTAATTCATTCGTTTTAACCATGCCTAGTGCTTGGTCATGTCCAAATCTTAAAAGTGTAAGAAGGAACAAATCTCATCAGTCATTTTGACGATAATATAACAATATTTCAAAATTTTCCCTCACTTTTAGATTTAGCAATCTCATTTCGCCCAAAGTAGCATTTCATACCTCATTCTTCCAGATCTTGCAATTAGTAAAGAAATGATCATTCTTTTTTTTTTGTTGGTTGTGGCTTGTGGCTGCAGTCGAATGAGTTCAATGAGCATGACAATGAGTGAAGTGTGAGACCCATGACTGTTGCAGTCCGGGATCTACCAGGAGGTGTTGAGTCTGTTCAGCCAGATCAGTGTGGAGAGCAGCTCCCCCTACAGCAGGGACAAGGATGAGAAGCTGAGGGGCTACCGGTGAGTGTTAACATCCTCCCAACACTCTCATACCCAGCAGCATCTCTGTGGATCAGTCTGCCAGAAAATCTGAAATCTGCAACCAATATTTTCTCTTTCAAACCTCAGCTTAAGACTTTTTCTGTTTCAATTTGTTTTGTGATTTATTGCACTATATAAATGCATTTATTATACCCCCGACCTAAAAGGGCAGGGGTATATTGTTATACCAAGGAATTCCGTCCTTCCTTCCATCCATCCTTCTCAGGAAATATTTGTGTGACCTATAACTTGAAAACTACTGCATAGATGCTTTTCAAACTCAGTAAACACTTTTTATACCTCCTGGAGAGGTGCAGTGAAAAGTTTGATTTCAATATTCGGATTGTTTGAAAAAATACAGCTATTTTTCATTATTTACTTAGAATTTTTTTAGGGAAACATTTGTGCGACCTATAATTAGAAAACTACTTCATGTATTCTTTTCAAATTTAGGGAACAATTTCTATACAAAAAGGAGAGATGCAGTGCACATTTTCATTTTGATAAGTGGATTTCATCATCATCATCATCATCATCATTATTGTTGTTAACTACAAACTCAGGACTAGTTTCCGCTTGTCGTCTGGACTAGTGTCTCAGTCAGTGACCAACATATTGTTGATTTGCTGTACGGATTAGCCAGTATGTCGGATATCTGGGACATTGTTCAAATCAGTGTTAAACCCACCTCACTCGTATCTACCAAATGATGCAGTGTTGTATTTCCCGTGTCTCCAGACAGGTGTCTCAGTCGGTGATCAACGCCTTCGCCAACATCGCGGCCAACATCCAGGGTGAGAGTGAGCAGCAAGACTTGCTGGGCCGCCTGCTGGAGCTGTTCGTACAGATGGGGCTGGAGGGCAAGCGGGCCAGCGAGAAGATCTCCGAGACAATGAAGGTAGATACTCAGGCTGAGACTGATAGTTTAAATTTGGACCTTAAATTGATGTTTGCACATCGATCATACTAAAAGCTGAAATTTTCATTACTCACTCACTGTAATGAAATTTGTAACATGTGTAGTTAGTAGTGAGGCTCAAAACATATGTAACATTTTCCACGATATTTGAAATTTTGATCTTTATTTCACCTTTGTGCTAAATTGCCCTACACTGTAAACGTCATCTCCTCAGAAACCACTTAAATAATGCAGCTGAAACTTCACAGGTTGGTTGTTTCCAGCTATGATGACACTCCAATTTGTTCAAGCGCTTCGAATCTGATTTTCAAGATGGCCACCCCGGTAGCCATGTTGAAAAAGCTGTTCATGCCATTTGTAAACACAATGTAATGAAATTTGGTATTTATCTTTGTTGTGGGATTCCACACGTACATTTTGACCATGCTCTTAAATTCTCTCAAATAAATATTAACTCTGTAAATTTCTCCCCTGAAATTGTCAGACTTTGATATATAATTTGTATGTTTCTCCTCATAGTGTATAACAATCATTAGAATTGAGTTAACTATGCAGAGAATATTTGAATACAAACACTGATAGCAACGTTTGTTAAGTGTCTGTCTTTGTGGACATTTTTAACTGTTGACTTCGTGTCCAGGTGAGCTACAGTGCTGTGGCACTATTTTTGATGTTATGACTTTATTGTTCATAAGAGGTAGCAAATCTGTATTCTATGATGTTTATACTGAATTATTTAAGTCTGGATGCCTGAATTGAGTGGTTGTTGTGATTGTGTTTCCAGGCATCAAGCAGTGCTGGGAACCTAGGGGTGTTAATCCCTGTCATAGCTGTGGTGAGTATGCATAGGCTGGCCTCTCCATACAGCAGATGTCACACACTTGCTCCCCCGTGGGGAGTCAGGGTTAGAATAGGTCCCCAGCAACCTGTGTTGGTTGTAGGAGGCTACCAAATGGATCAGGTGATCAGTGTCTTGGTTGATAGCGCGTGGTACCTTGATGGCTCGGATTGTTATGAATCACTGGATTGTCTGGTCCAGACTCTTGATTATTTACATATTTACTGTCATCATGTAGCTGGAATACTGCTGAGTGCTGCATTAAACAAGAAAGAAACAAACAAACAAAGAAGACCTGCATCACTTCAGGCTTTCCTACCACATCAAGCTGACATGCAGTGATATAAGTAAAATAATGAAGAAGCATTAAAACCAAACTCACTCACTCACTCACTCACTCACACATTCTCGAACTCACTCACTCACATTCACTCACACATTCACTCACACATTCACTCACTCACTCACTCACTCACTCACTGTGTTGGGACGTATGCCTGCAAACTTAGCAACAGGATGCTTTTTTCTTACTTTAACTGACCAGTAAAGATGTCTGAGAGTGGATTTCTGTTTCATGATGAACCTTGGGATAACTTTTTCTTTAATAACCTTCTGAAATAGGTTTGCTTTTCAGCACAAGAAACTAGCACTGTGTGACTATCTCAACTTGTTAAGGTTATGAAATGTGGTGTAAAACAATAAACATTCACTCCTGACATGAGAAGCACTTTACTTAACAAGAAAGACCTAATGTTCTTTTCATTATGTATTGTCTTTTTTAGTATTTTACCTAAATTGAAAAACATCACTTGTTTCATTGACATTTCAAAGTGATGTAAATTTCACTTGAGTTTACTTCACTCGGACAAGTACAGTTTCATACATCTATCACAAAATATACAACATTTTTTCTTTAGTTGACAAGAAGACTGCCCCCAATTCGAGACCCCAACCGCCGCCTCCACAAGCTGTTCCAGGACTTCTGGCAGTACTGTGTCGTGATGGGCTTCACCGAGGAGGAGTCAGGTAGGCTGTCACCTCGCGTTGTGGGGCAGTGGGCATCTTCCCCAGGCAACAGAGTTAACTGACTTTAAAAGTCCAGTTTCCACCATCTTCCCGAGGCAAGAGAGTTAACTGACTTTAAAAGTCCAGTTTCCACCATCTTCCCGAGGCAAGAGAGTTAACTCACTTTAAAAGTCCCGTTTCCACCATCTTCCCGAGGCAAGAGAGTTAACTCACTTTAAAAGTCCCGTTTCCACCATCTTCCCGAGGCAAGAGAGTTAACTCACTTTAAAAGTCCCGTTTCCACCATCTTCCCGAGGCAAGAGAGTTAACTCAATATAAAAGATCAGTTTCCACCATCTTCCCGAGGCAAGAGAGTTACCTCACTTTAAAAGATCAGTTTCCACCATCTTCCCGAGGCAAGAGAGTTAACTGACTTTAAAAGTCCTGCTTCCACCGTCTTCCCGAGGCAAGAGAGTTAACTCACTTTAAAAGATCATTTTCCACCATCTTCCCGGGGCAAGAGAGTTAACTCACTATAAAAGATCAGTTTCCACCATCTTCCCGAGGCAAGAGAGTTAACTGACTATAAAAGTCCTGCTTCCACCATCTTCCCGAGGCAAGAGAGTTAACTGACCATGATATTGCTGTTAGGTTGCTCAAGTGCTGTAAGACCATGCTCACTCACTCAACCTGTTGTACACACATATAATCCACTTTACTCTGTGCGGGGCATTAATAGAAACAAGACCCGTGAAGATACGGGGTAGAATAGGTCTTCAGCAACCCATGCTTGTCGTAAGATAGGGTGGTCAGGCTCGCTGACTTGGTTGATGCATGTCATTGTATCCCGATTGTGTAGATTGATGTTCATGATATCAATTACTGGATTATCTGATCCAGGCTTGATTACACACAGACCACCGACATATAGCTGTAATATTGCTTAGTGCGGCGTTAAACAACAAAAAAACAATCAATAAACGAAACAAAAGCATTTGAATTTTGAAGATCTTCTTTTAGGGCCTCGACCAGTATTTTTTAAACTAAAAAATGGGAAAATTCAGCATCCAGATTGAAATATGTTGAAAATAAATATGCTGACTCATGAAGTATACAAACAGGTGGGAGAGTAAGGTGCATGAAAGGTAGATATCCTTGCCACGTACACTTTGATAACTACTGCAGTGGGGTGGTCACACGTTCTACAATCTCATTAAAATCAGATCTTAGTTCTCGCCATTGCTTAACAAAGATCTGAGGACATCCCATTACGGGTCACACCAGAACGACCTTTGATCCGACCAATCAAAGCATCGCTTACCAGATCGTGAAAGTGACAGTCGGAATGTGTTTCCTAATCATGCAACCACGAAAACGTGAACACAGGATATTCCGAACGACAGTTACGGCCCATGCGACTGATTCCGTCAAAATTATCGTCTGTCTCTCGCTTCCTTGGGATAAACATTTGAACGGAGGAGGCTTTGCAAAGTACCCGGGAAGCACTGCCATACAATCTCAACCATATATTAGACATTCCGGAATGTTCGTTTGTTCAGTTTTCAAAATTTTAATTGAGAACTGTGTCAACATATTTTTCAAGCCTAGTCTGAAATGGAAGTCCCCTGGTTGAAACGAGTGCCGTAAGGCTCGAGAAAACTGCTTTGTAATTGGCTGATGTCGACTTCTTGTTAGTCATTTCAGTGGTCAGTCAAAGTTCGCGAAAGGTCGCTCTGACGTGACCCATAATGGGATGTCCTCAGATCTTTGTTCAGCGACAGCGAGAACTTAGATCTGATTTTAATGAGATTGCACGTTCTATGTTCTGTGTGCTCTTGCAGGGTTCTGGCCCCAGGACTGGTACGAGGCGGTGTGCGAGATCTCCACCAAGTCACCGCTGCTGATTGCAAGAGACCATCTCCGTAAGGAGCTGAAGTACAGTGCTGCTCTCCGCAACGATACAGTTGGTCAGGTCAGTTCTCAATTGAATCAGTCGTATTGATAACTTCTTTGAGAGGCATTTTGAAGTTGGAGTATTAAGTAAGGATAAGATATATGGATGAACAACTTCTTTATTACAATTAGGAGTGACGTTTCGGTGTAGGTTCCAACTACGTCATCAAGCAAGTGATGTACAGAGTTTGGTTGATGAGTACCATCAACTCATCAAAGACCCCATTCAGTCATAATCCTTTTTTCTTATACGACTGGCTTCCCTGGTTAATATGTTTACCTTATATCACTCCTATTGTGAACATAACAGGCTTCTCCACTCCAGTGTACTCTACTGTATAAAAACTGCCTCCCACCTGTATATATGCTTGTCAACCATATTCTGCACATCACTTGTCGCTCCTATTTGAAATAAAGAGCTTTTCATCCATATGTCTTATCCTTACTTAATTGTTCTTATTATAGTATGAATACAAAAGAAATGGTAAAACATCTATTCTCCGCCAATATCTGTTTAAGAGGGCATTTAGCTAATGGTCAGAGCATCAGCCCAGAAACTGGCTGGTTCGGAGTCAGTATACTGTGTCTGAGTTGGGTATCCGTGCTAAAATGCTGGATGGTTTCTCAGTAGGCTAGCACTATAAAACTGGCACTATTCAGCGTTAGAAATTGGCACTTGTCCTGTAGTCCTTGCCAAACTGTCCAATAGTTAAGGTATCATAAGGACCAGTAGAAATTTGCCATTTTTAAGGGTTTTGCTATATGTTATCATTGTAAGGACTGGTGGAGTAGACCCGTGAAGATCCGGGGTAGAATACGTCTTCAGCAACCCATGCTTGCCGTAAAAGGCGACTATGCTTATCGTAAAAGGCGACGTGGATCGATGCTCATGATATTAATCACTGGATTGTCTGGTCCAGACCTGATTACTTTATAGACTGCCGTTATATAGCTGGAATATTGCTGAGTGCGGCGTAAAACAACAAACCAACCAACCAACTAGTGGACTAAAACTGTTAGTTTCTACCACTGCTATTCTGGATGTGTACAAGCAGACACACGTGCACACACACGCACCCATGCACCCATGCGCACATGCACAGATACATCACTGTATAAGTGCAGTTATCCTGAGCGTGACACTAAGGCCTGTTTCAAGTTTGTCCATGTAGAAGGCTCCCAACAATAACCGACCCGTGAAGATCCGGGGTAGAATTGGTCTTCAGCAACCCAGGCTTGCCATAAAAGACGACTATGCTTGTCGTAAGAGGCAACTAACAGGATCGGGTGGTCAGGGTCACTGACTTGGTTGATGCATGTCATCGTATCCCAGTTGCATGGATCGCTGCTCCTGATGTCAGTCACTGCCTTGTGTCTTCCTGTAAGTGTGTTGCTTCCTGGAAAAGATGTCATGACAGTTAAGTCTGGTGGCTCCAGAGGCGATGGGGTTGATGAGTTCACATCCCTCTTCTATTCACACACATAACATACCAACCTATCATGTGATTTTGTTTGCTTTGAGAGTTAGGTACTGTGTGAACCCAATCTCATTCAAATCTGATCTTAGTGCTTGATACTGCTACACATAGATCTGAGGACATCCCATTACAGGTCACGCCAGAATGACCAGTGAAATGACCAACAAGAAGTTGACATTAGCGGCACTAGTTTCAAACTAGTACGTTGAAAACTATTTTGACACAATTCTTGATTTAAAATTTGAAAACTGAACAAAAGAAAATTCTAGATTGTCTGATAGATGACTCAGATTGTGTGGTAGTGCTTCCCGTGGGTTAGGGGAAGTCTTTTCCATTTCAAATGTTTATTGGTGTGGTGGGACCGCCTCTTCCCGAGGGCCTGGGTTCAATTCCCCACATGGGTACAATGTGAAAAGCAGCGTAAAACCATTCTTGCTCCTTTCCTCCCTCCCTCCCTCCCTCACTCACTCACTCACTCACTCACTCACGCTCACACTCACACTCACACTCACTCACTCACTCACTCACTCACTCACACACTCACACACTCACTCACTCACTCACTCACTCACTGAATGATTACAAAACACGTCACTTTCTCAATCTGGTAAGCAACGTTTTGATTGGTCGGATGAAAGGTCGTTCTGACATGACCCAAAATGGGATGTCCTCAGATCTTTGTTTAGTGGTGGCTAGAACTAAGATCTGATTTATGAGATGGCATGTGAACCCCTCTTTGTCAAAATCTGGGATCTGCCTCTGAAAGTACCATCAATGTCTGCTTGTATGGAAGTGACACACAGACAGTTGTGTTTGGCTACCTGGCTGACGATGTGATGCTCTGTTCTGCTCCAGGCTGATGTGAATGGGTTTCGGATGAAGATCTGCACAGTCCTGGACAACCCACCAGAAGTGGTGCCCATCATCAACCGACTGAGCTTTGCCCAGCTGACGTACCTCATGTCCGTCTACAAGTTGGAGACACTCAGGTCAGTCCTCAACGGAGATACTCTCGTGTTTGCTTCGTCTTTGCCTTTTCTCTGTACTGGGTACAGGGAGTTATCTAGACCTGTCCAGAGACAGCAGGGGTCGATTTAACTGCTGACCCGTTGGCCCGTGGCTAGTAAAAACTGCCAAGGCCTTGCTAAAACATAAATTAGATGGCCCATCTGGCTTGTCAAATTTTCACCCCTTCTCATCTAAGTTTAATTTTCTTTATTTGGACACTTCTCGTGAATCATGTAATTTTGATGAGAAAATATTTAGGGGGGATGAGGTCATGTGAATGGTTAACTCAAAGAAAGATAAATAATATGTTGATCATCTTGGTAGAATGACAACAAGTTAGTTTGGAGAAGGGCCAGTAACTTTTAAAAGGAGCAAGCCCTGCTGGCTACATACAAATTTGTTGGACATATTCAGCTCCGAGTTGGCAGCAGATGTCAGTATAAACTCCCAAATTAGAATTAAGAATTTCCCAATTTATGTTTATATAGTCGTAACTAATGTTTTGACTTTGTAGAGGCAGGGATTTATCTAGACCTGCTCAGAGTCCGATATTCGATCCCAAGTCTGCAGCAATTGTCTGTGAAAATTCGCAAATGGGAATTAATATGTTCCTTTTTCATATGAATATGACTACAACTAATGTGATGGCTTGGTCATGGTCATTTGTATTACACTGATAACAGGACCCAAAAGGAGGAATAGGCTTATGTTTACAGTATTGTATTGTTGTACGCACTTCCCAGTTCATGTTGTAATAGTCATAACTAATGTTGGTTGAGTTGTCTTAGGTACATATTCCCAGCCTGGAGTCATAGAAATACAAGGTTCCTGTTATAGGTCTTTGAAAGGCATTAGGAAGTGATACACATAAGAAGAGAATTTATGGATGGCAACTTCTTTATTATGAGGAACACAACGTTTCAGAGTACATGCTTACTCCTTCATCAGGTGAATGAATGCCATGAGGCAGAGAGCATAATATATGTACCGTATTCAACGTAATAAGCGCCCAGGGCGCTCTCAAAATTAGAAATAGGGGGCTCTTATTAGAATATTATTTTGGTGGAGAAAAAAACAGAGTTGAAAGATAAATTTCGTGGTTTATGCTGAAGGTCTGAACTGTTTATATACGACAGATATATTTTTCCAGAATTTAATTGCCCATAATTAAGGGTGCATATAACATACGAGTGTGTATTATACACGAATAAATAAGTCTTGAGTACATTGATCAATCGGAAGAGATGCTAATTGGGATTGTTTACTTGCCAACATATTAGCAAATGTCGCCGTGGGCGCTTTTTAGAGCAGGGCGCTTATTACGTCGAATACGGAAATCACCTATCAGTGCCAATCATCTGTTGGCTTCCCTTGTTATTTTCCACCTTTTGTTATTGTATTAATTTTGTTGTCCTTACCTGTACATATATATGCTCTCTGCCTCATGGCATTCATTCACCTGATGAAGGAGTAAGCATATACTCCGAAACGATGTGTTCCTCATGATAAAGAAGCTGACATCCACATATTCTCTTCCCCTGTTGTTATCAAGGTAGACACAATTTTATGGATAACAACTTCTTTAATACTGAAAAAAGCGACGTTTCAGGAAAGATCCTTATACCGTTGTCAAGCAAGACTGCTTTAAAACGGTATAAGATCTATACTGAAATGTATAATAAAATTGTGTCTATCTTGTCATCCGTCAACTATTAAGTAATGCCTATCAAACAGTTTATCCTGTTGTTATAGTTACTACTAATGTGATCTTGTAATCTTATCATTTATTCACTTATAACAGCACCAATAAAGAGGAAACGGCTTTAAAGCTCAGTTTAATATAATTGCATTGAATGGAATGTTAAAATACAATGTTATACTATCTATACTATTTAAAAATTCAAATTTGTATGAAATAACAATTATTTTCCCAGTTTGCCTGCACAATGGCAGTTTGTTTCTATGTAGGTCCGTGGGGTAGAGGGGACCTAAGACCCTTAATTGCAAAGGCCATCATCACCACCTTCATCCTTTTTACCTCTCTCTTCCAGAATTATGCATTCCAATGACCTGTATGCATTCCACGGTCTGTTTGAGTACCTCCAGGACAAGACCCTCTTCAAAGACAAAGACAGTAAGTTTCTGTTACCAGATTATTAAATATACAAGTGATGTGTTTTCTGCCTGTTCCGTGCAACTAAGGCTGATTGGGTGATACCATACTCCTTAGGTTAGGGCTTGCTATCCGTAAAGGTTATAGAGATCAATAATCGCCAACTAATATCGATCAATTATCAAAGTTATCGAATTAAAGAAGTAACTTTAAGCATATGAGCAAGAAGGTCTGAAAAGAAATCAACATTTCACACCACTGGTGAGCAGTGACACATTTATGCATTGATTACTTAGAGGACATTTGACATGAAACAAAAACGGTTGCTTTCTGTCTTCGACAACTGACATTATTGACAATAACAAGTCTGTTTTGGCAAGTTTAAGCTTTATTTCAGCACAATAGTTTATGTGAATGATTATTGATGATTTATTGAACAATTTTATATTGATAATCATTAATATTTCTTCCCATTGACGATAATTCTGATTATCGATCTTTTTAGCCAGCCCTACCTTAGATAGAGATATAGATGTTCATGATTTCATGCACTGGTTTGCCAGATCCAGACTTGGTTATTTACAGGGCACAATGATCCGTGCGATCCGATACGTATCAAGATACCTTGCTCACGATCCAATACGATACTTGCATGTGCTCTTTTCTGGGTGCGTAAGCCATGTTTTTCATAGACAGGATAGCCAAATACCTGGCATGCTGACCATTTTCAGTTGCCAGTGTCAAGTATGGCACATGGGTGAAAATATTAACATTTTCACTACTCACTACTCATTTTACTCGTGATTTGTGCTTGGTGTAACATTTATTAAAGAATTCATTTAAGGTAAGAATCGACACTTTTAACTTAGTGTGCGATTGTGATCGATACTTGTATCAAGAAGTTCAAAATTGCTGGTGTATCGTCCTGCTACTACGACAGATAGTGTTTGACGGTGCTCTGTTTACCAACGTCTTGTTTCAGGCATGTGGCAGTGTATCATGATAGTAGCAGAGAAAGTGTTCGAGAGATTTCTGGATGTCATTGCTGCCAGGGTGAGACCGAAACTTAGTGAATCCACAACTTAGCAGTGGGGATTCTGACTTAGAATACATCCCCAGCAACCTATGCTGGTCGTAAGGGGGACTTCGTGGATTGGGTGGTCAGACTTGGTGACTTGGTTGATGGCGGGTCAACAAACCCCGACAGCGTGGTTCGTTGCTTGTATTCGCTTGTATTTACCCGCCGAAGACCTGGGTTCGATTCCTGACATGGGTACAATGTGTGAAGCCCATTTCTGGTGTCCCCCGCCGTGATATTGCTGGAATATTGCTAAAAGCGGCGTAAAAACCATACTCATTCATTCATTCATTCGTTGCTTGTAATGTCAGTCCCTGGATTGTTGAGTCCACACTCGATTATTTACAGGCTGCCATCATATTGCTGGAACATCACTGAGCACAGCATTATACAGCAAAGAAACACATGTTCAACATCAAAAAAACCTTTTGAATCAAGTTCCAACTGTGCCCACAGTATATTTCCATTGTTGAAAATTTTCACTTTTTGTACAGCAAACACTGAATCACATAAATCCAGTTTTTGCAAGAAATGCATACCTGCATATGCAAATTGAGATAGGGATGCAAGTGTGTGCACCTTCAGTTTTTTGCGCTGTACTCGGACGTTTTATAGACTTCTTTTATGTCGTCGGATTATATGTTTTTGGAAATCATACTATTTTTACAACATGTTCATTCTCACTATAATGAGGGGTGTGGTGTCACACAGACATCGTCAACAGTCAGATGATGGCTTGTATTTAAGATAAATGAGTGAGATGTTCTACAGTTGTTCATGTGATTACTAGAAAACTACGAATGTTTCTTAAGCATCCCCAAAAAACATAACGTACGAACATATTACAACACTATGTTACGAAGTCATTCAGTGATATGTTTTCACCCAAACTAACACTGTCCTGCAGCCTCGGACAGAGGAACGTGAAAGAGAGTTGGACATCCATGCCCAGTTCTTGCTGGTCAAGTTCAACCACATACAGAAGGCCATCCGACGAGTAGCAGACAAGTTCCTCTCCTACCTTGTGGACAGGTGGGTGAAGCTCTCTGTGTGCTGACAAAATCGACACAATTAAACAAAATAGAGTCCTCATATCTCACCAGGGCTTGATGGAAGTGACCTGTGGAAAGAATGATATTCAAAGGACAAGGACCCATATTCCACAAAGCAATCGTAATGCTAAGGTGATCGTAACTCACCATACTTTAACATAGACCAGAGGTCCAGATAACCTTTTGAGCAATTGAGTTTTTACTCTAGGGTTTGTTGTTTAATTGGGTTATTACATTTTTCATTGGGTAACCAATATTTTTTCGCTCATCTATATTGGGGTTTTCCCAAAATTAGTGGACATCTTAAGATTTCAACAAAAGTGAAATAATGTTTTTGATGTATGTAACTGTTCTAAATATATAGGCTTGACTCGAGAAGTAACTTAGCTCTTAACTGTGTTTCGGAAATTAGCTCATTTGTACGCAAGCTGAAAAAGCTTCATTGGGTTTTTACGCGTGCTGTCTTTATAATTTAAGTTTTTCATTTAATGCATGCGTTTCTATACGCCAGCTAATTAAAAGTAATTGGGTTTTGAATAACGCAAATATGCTGCTTATCTGTAGCTCTGTAGACTTTCAGCAGTCATGGAGCTAGATCGCTTTGTGGAACGGGGCCTTCATTGCTCTCCAACAGAATATTATGGTTCTATTTTTTTCAAGGTGAATCATCCTGGACTTCTGTCAGTGTGGAGTAGATTGAAAAAATATGCACCAGCATAGATGTAATTTAGTTCAGCTTTTAGAAAAATAAATAAATTCTGCAGCGTTAGAAATTGGCACTAGTCCTATAGTCCTGGCCAAACTGCCCAATAGTTAAGGTATCATAAGGACTAGTAGACATGTGCCATTTTTAAGGGTTTTGCTATATGTTATCATTATAAGAGCTAGTGGACTAAAAATGTTAGTTTCTACCACTGTTCTGACCTCTGGGTAAATTAAAAAGTATTTTGCATGAAAATATTTTTGTGTTTATGGTGTAAGTACTGTATGATGTGGGGCAAAAAAGCCTTCTGGAGGAGGTACAGTGTGAAGTTTGTTGCAGGTTTCCACATTTACTGTGGAGCGGGACGGTGTTGAGGACGATGCTTGACATCCTTCAGGTGCTGTCCAAGTCTCTCGAGATGGTAAGTATGTATATCAAATATGGGTAATGGATCCGGCCATCTGCCTCAGTGGATTTGTTGAGTGCGTGTCATCGTACCTCAAGGGGGCATGGGTGACCTAGTCGTCTAAGGCGCTGGATTTGCTGTGCAGAGTTGCGTCCCTCGGGCACGCCAGGAACCTATGATTGTGGGTTCACCCCGATTATGTTTCTAGGTTTGTCAACACCATGCCTGTGCTCGTGGGTTTCACCGAAGTGGTAAACATCTGAGACCTGCTTCATTTCAGGCTTTCCTCCCACATTAAGCTGACACGCCGTGATATAACTGGAATACTGTTAAAAGCGGCATTTAACCCAACTCACTCACTCACTCACTTCTGAAGGAAGGCATGTCACTCACTCACTCACTCACTCACTCACTCACTCACTCACTCACTCACTCACTCACTCATACCTCAACAGAGTTAATCATTGCTCATAATATCAGTCACTGGGCAACAAACAAATTGTGGTAATCACCTTACTTCAGTTACACTGTTTTGAGGGCTGTGTTGTACACTGATAGTCTTCTTGCCTCTGATTCAGGACCCCCACCAAGATGCTCCCGAAATGCCCATCCCAAACACCAGGTACAAGCTGAGAGTGATGGACACCATGGTTGACAGAGAGGTATGTACGTCATGGGACGGAGGAGATGGGCAAATCTGGTTGTTTAAACATATTTGTGTGTTTTAACAGATTTTGTACAAGGAATACTTTTCTGGATTGATTACAGCACTCAAATCGGTCAAAAGTCCCATGACCAAGTGGGCACAGGCTGCCGAGCTGTCTTAGGTGCCACAGTTTGCTCTGAAGAGTTGTGTCCCTTCCTTGTGCCAGAAACCTCTGATCATGATCTTGAATTCCAGATTCTCTGATTTGTTTCTTGGTTTGTCAGCACCATATATACCCAACTTTTGGGTAATCTCCAATACCTGTATCACTACAGACTTTGTTCCCAAATTGAGCTGATATGCTGTCATGTAACTAAAATACTGTCAAAGGGACGTTATACCTGTGAAGATCTGGTGTAGAAAAGGTCTTCAGCAACCCATGCTTGCAGTAAAAAACGACTAGCTTGTCGTAAAGTGACTAACAGGATCGAGTGGACAGGCTCGCATGTCATCATAACCCAACTGCGTGGTTCGATGCTCATGATGTCAATCACTGGATTGTCTGGTCCAGCCTCGATTATTTACGGACTGCCATCATATAGGTAGCTGGAATATTGCTGAGTACAGCGTTAAACAACAAACATACAAACAAACAAGGGACATTAAAGCAAACTCACTCACATGGCCAAGACTACCAACTTGCCTGGTATGTGGCTCTAAATGACAAATGTTGTAGACATCTACCAACATATTTCAATCCTAATGAATCAGAGGTCACATGTTGACATTTTCCAGAATCATGCCCATCTTATGTTTGGTTTAATATTTCAGACGACGGTGAAGGATTTCGCAGCTCGCAGTGCCGGCATCCTGCAGGAGTCGATGAAGTGGGCGCCCAACGCAACGCGGTCCCACCTGATCGAGTACCTCCTGCAGCAGGACAACTCCTCGGAGGGGCTGTTCCAGCACAGCGGGCTCGCCCTCGCCACGGAGAGCGTCCTCAACTACGCCGGCTACAACCAGAATGCTGCTCCACTGGGGGTAGGTGGTGGAGGTGTGACATTGTCACAGTGGTGCTGGGCCGATGGGGTAGCCTAGTGGGTTAAGTGTTCGCTTGTCACCCGGGTTCGATTCCTGACATGGGTACAATGTGTGAAACCCATTTCTTGTGTCCCCTGCCGTGACATTGCTGGAATATTGCTAAAAGCAGCGTAAAACAATACTCATTTGTCAGTGTCTTAAAGAAGTTATGGAGGAGGAGCTATATCACTGACTGACTTCCATCACTTTGCAATGGTAAGTGATGACTTGTTTGTTCCCATGGACAGGACCACCTAAATAGAATGTCTGCCCGGAGAGCAGAAGGTCGGTGGTTCAATCCCTTTTTGTGTCATACCAAAAGATGGTACTTGTTGTTTTCCCTGCCTGGCACTTGGCTTTAAGGGAATAAAGCAAGGACAGGTCGTCTTGGAGTCAGTATGCTGTGTATGAGTGGGGTATCCATGTTAAACTGTGGCATGGTATCTCAGTCGGCTAGGACTATAAAACCGGCATTAATCCGGACCAGTTCTATCTGCCAAAAAGACCTTTGCATGCATGTAGCTATATAAGTGTAATAATCTTGAACCCAAAGCAATGTTAAACCCCATTTAACCTCACTTTCTACAGACAGCCACACTGGACCGGCGGCCCACCTGCGTCAACACGGACAGCTCTAACTTCATGGCAAACCTCAGTCTCCGAAGCAGATACCTTGGAGAGGTGAGTTACCTCCCTTTGTTAGATATAATCATCATGAACTGTTGTTAAACATCTCTCAGTCCGAGGCAAGCATGTCCACTAGCTAATACCAAAGCCTAGTTTCTACCCTTCATATCAAGCCAACTTTTCTTGGTTCTACCGTGGTGCCACCTCGAGGTCACGAGACCCCTTGTAATAGAACGTGATATCCAATCAGATATTAGTCACTGGGTTTCTGGTCGATCTGGAAGATTGCTGAGTGTGTTTCTTTAGTGATCTGATATAGAATACTGTTGTGTCTGTGTTGGTGTGTTCACTGCCAGTCTGTCTGTGTCAGTATATGTGTTCACTGCCAGTCTGTCTGTGACAGGTGTCGGGGATGTTGAGCATCAGTGAGAGTGAGGAGGAACTGGCCAAGACACTGTGCAAGAAACTGGAGGCGGCACTGCTGGACTCTAAGTCAGGTGAGTTGGCAGATGCAAGACGCTGTGCAATAAACTGCTGGATTCTAAATCAGGTGAGTTGACAGATGCAAGACGCTGTGCAATAAACTGCTGGATTCTAAGTCAGGTGAGTTGACAGATGCAAGACGCTGTGCAATAAACTGCTGGATTCTAAATCAGGTGAGTTGACAGATGCAAGACACTGTGCAATAAACTGCTGGATTCTAAGTCAGATGAGTTCACAGATGCAAGTGCTGTGCAAGAAACTACAGGCAGCACTGCTAAATTGATGGATCTTACAGGTGTGACATATATCAGCAGGGCATATCGTAACAGTGCATTGTGTTTCTGAAGAGATTTTGCCTGATGGTGATTTTGGCTATTTCTTGTGTTCCAGATGAGGCTTGCAAGCAGGCAATGCTCCGAATCTGTTCACTGCAGATTACTACAAAAAGTGAGTTACTGGTAGGGAGATAAGAGACACTGACAGAGATAAGGAAGTATTCTAGGAATTGAATCACCAGTGGACATCATAAGACACTCAGAAGCATTGTTAGATACCAAGAATAATTGCAGTAACGATGTTGATTCCAGCATCATTGAGCAGGTCTCTGTCTGTAACATCTGTATCTGTAAAGTGTCTCCAAGCTTCACACCCATGGGGATTCCAGGGTAAAAGCAGTCCCCAATCTCATTAAAATCAGACCTGAGTTCTCGCTACCACTAAACAAAGATCTGAAGACATCCCATTAGGGGTCACGTCAGAACGACCTTTCATCCGACCAATGAGAGCGTCGCTTACCAGATCATGAAAGTGACAGTCGGAATGTGATTTCTAATCATACAACCTCGAAAACTTTAACACAGGGTATTCCGAACGATAGTTACAGGTTTAACAACTGAATCCATATAATCTAGACCATCTATTAGCCATTCCAGAATGTTCTTTTGTTTAGGTTTCAAATTTGTAATCGAGAATTTGTCAAAATATGTTTCGAAGCGTAGTCGCCAATTTGAAATTAGTGCCGTAAAGCACGAGAAAGCTGCCTTCTGATTGGTCATTCTATTGGTCTGTCAAAGTTCGCACAAGGTCGGTCTGATGTGACCCGTAATGGGATGTCCTCAGATCTTTGTTTAGCGGTAGCGAGAACTAAGGTCTGATTTTAATGAGATTGAAGTAGTCCCAAGCCACCGATTCTAGTTGTCAGAGGCCCCGAATGGCTCAGACAATCAGGCTTGGTGACTTGGCTTAATGCCTGTCACTGTACCTCGATACCGCCTCCGTGGTCTAGTGGTAGAGCGTCCGCCTGGAGAGCGGGGTTCGATCCCCGGCCGCGTCATACCAAAAGACGTTAAAAGATGGTACTTGTTGTTACCCTGTCTGGCGCTCGGCATAAAGGGGCTAAAACAAGGACTGGTCGGCTCGGAGTCAGTATACTGTGTCTGAGTTGGGTATTCATGTTAAACTGCGGCATGGTATCTCAGTGTGCTAGCACTAGAAATCGGCATCAGTCCGGACTAGTACAAGCAGCCACACACACACACACACACGTGCATGGACGTCGCTATATAAGTGCAATAATCTTGGATGCGACGTTAAACCCCATTTCACCCCACCTCACCTCACCTGTACCTCGATGGGGTGGATCGTTTCTCACAATATAAATCACTGGATTGTCTGGTCCAGACTCTGTTATTCACGGGCTGTCATCGTGTTGCTGGAGTATTGCTGAGTGCAGTGTTTAACAGCTAACAGGATCAGTCTGTCATCCTTATCTATATGTAGATACCCTCATGTTTGTTTCTGCCTCTAGACTTGAGTCGACATCTTCTCCATGCCCTGTGCTGGACACCAGTGCGTCACTTCAAGGAGAAGATAATGGAGATCAGTGTTGCATGCTGGGAGTGGTTGTTGGCTGCCAGATCAAACCTTGCCATAGAGGTAATAATAGTAGTAGTAGAAATAATAGTAATAATAATAATACATTGAACTCAAGAACTCTTCTCTTTCTGTGTTCAAGCTAAAAACTCATCTTCACAGATACTACTCCTGATTTTATAATAATACTACTACTACTAATAATAATAATACCGTATTCGACGTAATAAGCGCCCCGCTCAAATAAGCGCCCACGCGATATTTGCTGATATATGTTGGCTAGTGAACAATCCCAATTAGCACCCCTTCCAATTGATCAATGTACACAAGATTTATTTATTTGTGTATAATACGCACTCATGTGTTATATGCTTCCTTAATTAGGGGCAATTAAATTTTGGAAAAATATATCTGTCGTTATAATACGCACAGTCCTTTCTTTTGTATCATTTCAGGCTGTCAGCATAAACCACGAAATTTACAATCTTTCAACTCTGGTTTTTTTTTCACCAAAATTTTATTCTAATAAGAGCCCTCTATTTCAAGTTTTGAGAGCGCTTATTACGTCAAATACGGTATGTGCATTTGTTAGGCACTATCTTCCATCAACTATGTTGTTTCTCAAAGCACACATGATGAATGTGATAAAATCAAGAGTAGTATTTGTGAAGGAGAAGAGTTTTTAGCTTGAACACAGAACACGTTCAATTGGGATAGGTCCACAAGTGTAGGATCCCAGTGTGTGAAGGTCTCTGTTCGCAGGCTCTGTGATCGCATGTCATCATGCACTGATGACGTTCATCCATGCTCATGCCTTTAATCACATGTTTGTCTGTTCTTAGACTTGATTATTTACCGGCTGATGTAATTTAGATGGAATAATGCTAACTGGCACAAAGCGACGATGAAAATCTTGATCACATAATGTATTCTTGTGTCATTGTATCACATATATGTTTAGGTTGATTATGCAGATACATAGCTGCTGTAGGGAAGTCTGCAGAGCAAAGCAGAATTAATTATCTTACGCTGATGACGAAGTTGCATTATTGTATCAAAAACTGTATTGGTTGATGGGAATGTATATGGCTACATCAATCACTTGTACTCCACAGCAATACCGGTATGTGGATGTATGTTTCAGTTGTTGTGTGAGATGGCCGCTGCTTGGCAGATGAGTATTGACCTGAAACTGGGGATATTTGAGGAGGACACGCCCATTCCCGACCCCCTGGCGCGTCGGGAAGACGAGATCCTGTCGCCCAACCCGCCCTATGTCATGCCGCACCAGATCTGGACGAAGGTGTGTCACTGTCGTCATTTACCTGTAGAAATTGAAATGTAGTTACCGGTAGATTTAGCTGCGATAAATTGAATTTGGAACCCAACACATCTGGAAATCTGGAACATTTTGCACCATGTCATAAGTGCGAGTGGCTAAAAATAGCGTTAACTGCATCTGGAAACTTTGCGACAACCAGTTTATGTGATTACCAAAGATGAATGGTACTTTTGCACATGTTATTTTTTATGACTAGGAAGCGGTGTGATAAAATGTTTTATCATCCAAAACTGGCTCCCACAGGAGATATCACTTGGGTGAGATCAAGCGATATCTACATTGTAGATATTGCTGCAATGAAATTGCATCACAATGCTTTGCAGACCATTGTGACATCACTGGTTACCATGACGTCACAATCAAATGACATCACTAATGGCTCTTCTACTCAAGCTGTTAGCAGTACTTTTTACACTCAAGACACTGCTTATTACTGTCTACAAACTGAAAAAGTTGGAAGAATGATGTTGGATGATAAATAAAATCTCACCCTCTTGTCTTTTTGATATCAAATATATCAACACTCGTTGATATATTTGACATCAAAAGACACTTGGATGAGATTCTCTATAAGCGTCAGTCAGTGTTTTTTAACTATAGATGCATCTGCTGTTGTTGTTGGCAAGGTAGGTTGAAGAAGTGTGTTTATCTAACAGTAGTATAATAAGGCTGGCATATGTCTGGAGTACTCAGTGTTATGTGGAGCAACTTGATCAGATGTGGCAGGTTAGTGAACCTTCCTGATTAGACTATTGACACTGAGTTTAGGTAACAGGTTGCGAGGGATTATGTATTGTGGAAGTGACTAAAAGAAGTATGCCACTTGCAGGTTTTTGCAGTACTTTCCTGCTCCCAAAACCTTCCAGATTTACGGCATATAAACAGTAACGTTTTTTTGTCTATCACAGTTTGTCATCATATATATATACCCTGTGTCACTAAGGTCTTGGGGGTAGAATAGGTCTTCACTAGCCCATGCTTGCCGTAAAAGGCGTCTATGCTAACGGGATCAGGTGGTCAGGCTCGCTGACTTGGTTGATGCATATCACCGATCCCAATTGCTTGGATCGATGCTCATGATGTCAATTACTGTATTGTCTGGTCCAGACTCGATTATTTACAGACCGCTGTCATATAGCTGGCATATTACTGAGTGTGGCATTAAACAACAAACAAACACTAAGGGCTTGCATCCCATGTACACTGGCCTGACATGACAGAAGTACTGCTCAAATCGGTTATTATTGCCAACTGATTGACTCTCTGGTTGTCAGTTTCTAGCGGAGAGACTTGAGATCGCCAAGTACAGCAATGCCTCCCAAGTGGACATCTTCCTGACTCTGCTGAACAAGTCTCTCCCGGTCAGTGTGGGCAAGAAGTCCGGCATCATCTCCAGACACACCGCTGCCATCGGACCCAGAGTTAGGTGAGTTACTTTACAGTTAGGTGAGTCACTTTTCAGTTCGGTGAGTCACTTCATAGTTAGGTGAGTCTCTTCATTGTCAGGTGAGTCACTTTACAGTCAGGTTAGTCACTTTTCAGTTTGGTGAGTCACTTCATAGTTAGGTGAGTCTCTTCATTGTCAGGTGAGTCATTTTTTAGTCAGGTGAGTCACTTTTCAGTCAGGTTGGTCACTTTTCAATCAGGTTGGTCACTTTACGGTTAGGTGAGTCACTTTTCAGTCATGTCAGGTTGGACACTTTACAGTTGGGTGAGTCACTGTACAGTGTGGTGAGTCACTTTACAGTTAGGTGAGTCACTTTTCAGTTATTTTAATCACTTTAGTCAGGTGAGTCACTTCCATTTGGTGAGTCACATTACAGTTAGGTGAGTCACTTTACAGTTAAGTGAATAACTTTACAGTCAGGTGAGTCACTTTACAGTCAGGTTTGTCACTGTAGACTGTACAGTGAGGTGAGTCAGTTTACAGTTAGGTCAGTCTCTTCAATTAGGTGAGTCACACAGTTAGGTGAGCCATTTCACGGTAAGGTGAGTCACTTTGAAGTTACGTGTGTCACTTTACGGTTAGATGAGTCACTTTACAGTTAGGTGAGTCACTTTACAGTTAGGTAAGTCACTTTTCAGTTAGATGAGACACTTTACAGTTAGGTGAGACACTTTACAGTTAGTTGAGTCTATGCCTGGATGCATACCTGGATGTACTGGACATCAGAGTTAGAATACTATGTAAGACTGCATCTGACACAGCATGTATGATGTATTGGGTGTCTGATATGATAAATGACAATTATCACTTTGCCCTTCAGACTTCTGTCAATGGGTCTGTCCCTCCTCCAGGGTGATCTGCTTCCGAACACGTCCGCCAAGAGTGTTCTCAGAGAACGCATCTACGCCTCCACTCTTGACTTCTTTTGGTGAGTCATATCTTCCAAATACTGGTGTCTTAGAGTTAGAGCAATTACTTGCTCATTTGATACGATATTTTAATCGGTTTAAGCCAAGTTGTTTAGACCAAAAATCCAAATGAAAAGATCAATACCCAAAACTGTCACTGAGTATTTTAACAGTTGTTGCTTGTATGTACAAGGTTTATACTTAAATTGGAAGAAATATCATTGCAGACATTTGAAAAAACACAATCCATTCTTTTTTTATATGCTTGTGCGTGAGTGCATGTTCATTATTTATGACAAACCTTAAACAGGTTTAGCATATTGTCTTTTGAAAATAAATATGAAATAAAACCGTTGTATGTGCTAATTAAGCATAGCAAGTTGAGTTTGAATACAAAATATTACGTGCAATGTACATATACTGGCTGACTTGGTTGATGCATGTCATCGTAAACCCAATTGCGTAAATCGATGCTCATGATATCCATCACTGGATTGTCTGGTCCTGGTCGATAATTTACAGACCACTGTCATATAGCTGAAAATATTGCTGAGTGCGGAGTTAAACACCCCCCCCCCCCCCCCCCCCCCACACACACACACACACACACATACAGCAGATTGTGTAGTTATTAATGTTGATGGTCCATGTGTTGGACAGCGGCCCCATCATTTGTCCGTCACAGAAGGGGTCTGACCTGCGGGAGGACATCATCACCCTCATCAAGTTCTTCCAGCTGATTCATGCAGACAAGAAGTATCTCACTTCCAATGTCATGACCTTTGGATGTAAGTTCAACTTGGTGAAACTCATTTATCATACAGAATGACATAACATAGAGGAATAAAATATTATATTGCAAAATGGTTTGTGTTTTCCAGGATTGTAAACTTCTTGATTATTTTAAGGGCACAGGGTGCCGTTGTACGAAGCTACTTTAGTGCTAAGGTGATTGTAACTCACATGTATACGTTGACATAGACTTACGACAGTAGTGGAGCTATGGTTGTTTTGTACAACAGCACCCAGGTGACCAGTCATCTAAGGCATCACTTTACGCTGTTCAGAGCTGTGTCCTTGGTTCTGCCAGACAGTATTGTGGCCATATGGCCTAAAGTACAATTGATACTAACTCATAATATATTGTCACCTGAATATACAGAAATTACATCTTCTTGAATCTGATATTAAAACATGTTTTAATGAAGGCTAAAAATTAAATAGTCTTGGTTCTCAGGCACCGCCTGCATCATCATAAAGTCTGCCTCATGTTTCGTTTTTATTTCCATTTAAAAGAAAAAATAAACAACTTCTAATACTTAAAAACAATGCGATCCAGTATAGCACACAGTTACTTCCCTTTACATGTTCACTGGTTTACTGTGCATCTCGTGTTATGGTCATGGAGGCAATAGGAGTTTGTATGCTTGTTTATGTAGGGAGGCCCTTTCCCAGATTGATGGTACACAACTGTTTATTTGGGTACCTACTAGTTTGAACAAGCAAAAAAAAAGCCACCACCAACCCACCCGATGTTTTCAAAAGTCACTGCCTGAGAGCCAATTCTATTATTTTTTTAAGCCTAAGTAGCGACTGAAAGAATAACATGTTTGTTTTGTGAGTTGATAACAATTATCATCAACATTTCTGATTTACTGTCATTGTTCAAGAAAGGAAGATATGTAGATCTTAACTAGGAATACTTGTTACACTTAATCAGACGTGGAATTCATCTTCAATTTCACCTCTGTCACTATTAACAGCATCAATATTTTTAGATTTATGGCACATATTTACATTAAAATTATGTAATGAAATCTAAAATTTACAAAATCTTATAAATGATTTTTCTGGTAACTAACTTACTACAGTATTATCCAAGAAGACATTAATGATTGAATATGTGTTCTTTAACCAGACGAGGAGTCTGCCAGCACTGCCAACACTCTGACAATCAGCGGCATGGCTACCGACATGAGATCCCAGACCGGAAGCTGGATGAACACCATCAAGAGCGGGTCGTCCACTTACTCCAAGAGATCTGCAAGTATGTAGCATTACACTGTCACCATGGAGATACCTCAGCAATAGCTGAATAAGAAAAAACAATTATGTCAGCAAAAAATATGTGTTCAGTATAAAATCTAAATGCACCATACTCATATGTTAATGTGCAGTGTGCTCAGTGCTCTGTGTTCATCCAAAGCTCACAAGAGTATCCCGTTCCTGGTCATGAGAGTATTATGATGTCCCACACATAGAAATGAAGCCCTTTTTTCATAGACTGGTGCCTGGTGATATTTGTGTTGCATAGTCTTTATGGTTTTATTAAGATTGTTTGACAATTATCGGTGTTTTGCCAACAGCCATGTGAGATCCCCAATCTGTTTAACCCCCGATACCTTTAGATGTGGCAGGACCCGTGAAGATCTGGGGTAGAATAGGTCTTCTGCAACCCATGCTTGCTGTAAAAGACGACAATGCTTGTCGTAAGAGGCGACTAATGGGATCGGGTGGTCAGGCTCGCTGACTTGGTTGATGCATGTCATTGTAACCCAATTGCGTGGATCGATGCTCATGATGTCAATCACTGGATTGCCTGATCCAGACTCGAATATTTACAGACCGCCGTCATTTAGATGGACTATTGCTGAGTGCGGAGTTAAACAACAAACAAACATGTGGCAGGGTGTACTAGTCATAATACATAGATGCCCAGGGCTCCAGATGAACTGCGTAATTGTGTAAAATATGCAAAGTATATCACTATTGCTCAATTAATTTTGAGTTGCTTGCGTACATTACAGTTCTTTATTGGCTGGTTGAATGTACTGGAATATTGCTGAATGCGGCATTAAACAACAAACAAACCAAACCAAACCAAACCAAACATGAAGGCAGCAGATATTCACAAACTTTACTGCAGTAACGGAATAATGCATAAACAAAGCACCATGTTTCGCTGATTGGTAATTAGACATGTTTATCGCTTTTGTGAGTTTAAACGACATGTTACACACTTGCGTCACACAAAAGCATTTCAAGGAGTGTGAAAATACCATATAGACTGGACGAAATGGAGTAAAACTATATTGAAAATTATCAATACCCAATGTGATGTGTGAGTAAATACTTTATGGCTTAATAGCCCATTTCTGGTGTCCCCCGCCGTGATATTGCTGGAATATTGCTAAATGTGGCATAAAACCATACTCACTCACTTACTTATGGCTTAATAAAATATCTGGAGCCCTGGCTTGCCATGGAAAACTCAGAGTCCAGCTCACAGAACCATGAGAGACCACTGACTACCCTATCTCCCCATGTGTATGCCTGCCCTATCTTCTGGTGTATTATGCCCACTTTCTTGCCATTGTTGGAATGACATGAAACTGTCTGTGAAATCCTGAACAATCAATGATATTACATTGATACAGTGTTCCCGCTAGCTTTTGAAACTGCCAGTCCCGGTGGACTGGCAACTGTAAAAATTACCAGTCCTCCCTAATTTTTGTCAGTTCCAACTTTTACATTGTCTTGATTCTTTCGACGACATCAACAATGCCGTGTACGTTCATGGCTGACAAATTCATAATGTCATCTCTGAAGTAACTTTGTGAGATTTACACGTCATTCACTCAAAGTTCAGTCACAATTTTCTCTTTTTCCCCGGAATATTTCACTTTGGTTCGAGACTACTTTACTGATTTCGCTGATGTTTTGTTCAAGAACAAAGATTTATAAGGTGCTTTATTTGCCGGTCCACAGGGACTGATGGTCACTTGAATTACCAGTCCAAGCCTAATTGTACCGGTAAAAAACTGGTAATTACCGGTAAACAGGAACACTGTGATATGACATGTTATTGGCCGCTTTGCCTAAACTTGCCAATTTCTTGGAGCAAAATAATTCTTGCTGCAGGTCAAGATAATCTTGTGTTATTTTTGTATGAAATGTGTAATGTCCTATATATGCATTTTAGGAATTGATTGCAGGAATATTGTCTTGTTCAACATTCATTTTACTGGAGAAGTTTTTAGACATGAAAGATGGACTTATATCTTCGCCGAAAACATTTCCAACTTACAATTCATCTGACAGTACGAACCTATTGTCACCATGAAATGGAATATCAAATTACGAAAAGGCAGGAAGTGATCAAAAGATTTTCATAATTTTTATATTTGCAATACTACAATGCATATTTTGTAATAAATAGCAGTAGCAGTGTGTGTAACTGGAGAAGTCTCCCCCCCCCCCCCTCATACACACACACTTTAAAACAAGAATAGTCAAAGTCTACATCATCCAGTGAAAATTCCTACTTTTATGCATCTTATGCAAATTTTGCTACTAGATCCAAACTTCACCTGTAAACATTTCAAACTCTCAAATGTTCGATTTTTTCTCACAACTGAACGAGTCTGTAATAAATAATGCAAATAATATGTTTGAAAAGACATCAGCAAAATGTCACACAGTTTGGCTGCCAGTTTTCAGAAGAGACAGGTAAATGTACAACTGATCTCAATTAAAATGATGAGAAGACATAAGTCCATCTTAAAGTTGCGCATTTAATGTCATTGTCATTCCTTGTGTTATATATGTATACCTTTCATTTTCTAGATCCATTGTGCGAGGTTGTTGCTTCCTAGACATACATGTTTCCTCACAGCTTTCATCCAATAGAATTATGTCTCCATATCTCTCATTTTCTGATTAGTCGTAGGCGGCCAGCGTCATTCTATTGTGTTTGGTCTTCACGGTCATATAGAAACACGCGCCACCGATCTTGAGTTTTTATATGTCGGCAAGTATTATATTGAGTGCCTGACAACTAGTTGTGTTTGTGTAGACCTATTGTAGTGCATGAAGGGAATGCTGTTGTTCATTATGATGTCAGTCATAATAAGCTTGTCACGTTCATGCTCATACTCACCAGTGTTTTCTGATGTTACTTTTATTTCAGTTATCAGAATTTATTTCCAATGCGTGCAATCAGTTCTTTAACTGTTTGTTTTTTAAATATATGTTTAAATCAAAGAGGAAATAGTGGTACAAGGGATAAAAACAGGAGCAAATTTAGAAAACATGTGGTAATTACCCTGCTCTCAAAGTTTACCATATTGACAATGATTGAACTTGGTGATGAGGAGGGTGGTTGTCCTGAAGATAAGAACTTAAAAAATAGGTGCATTTTAAATGCTCCACACCCTAAAGCATTGTTGCGTGGTTCTTTGGAAAGATTTAATAACAGTTGAAACAAGTCATTTCAGGTTCACAAAGTCAATTTATATGGCTCAAATCTGGTTCACAAATATTTGGATCAACACATGTGGTTTTACATGGTGGCTGACATATTTGATCTATAAAAAGTGGAATTAAATAAAAAATGGATTTAGAATGGAATAGCAAAAACAAGGAATAGCATGAATTAGTAATTGAAGGCAACATAAACAGCTATCACTTTATAACAAGCATTATTTCTCTGGTAAATGGATCTTTCATTCTCAGCTCCCTGGGGTGTGTACAACCCAAGCTTTACCTGCTTGTGGGTTTGAATCCCAGATTGGCCCGATTATGAGCTTTGACCAGTTAGCACCATACACATGCTCATAGGTATCAGGAACGTGATAAATGTCTGGCTTCACTTTTGACTTTCTTCCCTCACTAAGCTTAAGCCCCCATGAAGATCAGGGTTAGGGTTGATTTTCAGCAACCAACGCTTGTTGTAAGAGGTGACTAAGGGGATCGGGTGGTCTGACTTGTTGATTCGGTTGATGTATGTCATCGTATCCAATTACGTAGATCGATCGATCCAGTCAATCACTGGATTGTCTGGTCCAGACTGGACTATTTAAAGACCACTCTCATGTTGCTGAGTGCAGCATTTAAGAACACACAAACAAACACTGGGATTAAGTTTAATGACATAATGAAATACTGGTCAAGTAGTGTTATTCTCCCTCACTCACTCTGTATCATTCTCAATGACATCAGCCTCATATGCTGGTCATGCTAACATGGATGAAGGATGTCATTATCAATAGGCCTCATTTGAATACAATTTTGCAACAGAAAAGGTCCCAAGTACCCCATGCTTGTCCTCAGAACTGTCTTAATCTGGCTGGGTCTGTTAATTACATTGTGTGACCTGGGTCATGTTCCAGAAGCGATCGGGGTCACGGGTGGCCCAGTCATCTAAGGCGCCGCGATTTGCTGTGCAGAGTTGCATCCCCTGTGCACGCCAGAAACCTATGATTGTGGGATCGAATCGTGGTTCGCCCCAATTATGTTTTTAGGTTTGTCAGCACCATGCCTGTGCTCGTTGGTTTCACCGAAGTGGTAAACGTCTGAGACCTGAATCACTTCGGACTTTCTTCCCACATTAAGCTGACACGCCGCGATGTAACTGTAATATTGTTAAAAGTGGCGTTAAACCGAACTCACTCACTCACTCACTCACTCACTCACTCACTCACTCACTCACTCCAAAAGCGATCTTACCACTGAGATGGTCTTATCTGCCATTCATTGACTTATGATAGTCAAAGTGCTATGATTGCTTTAGTTATAATGTGGAGATACTGTGGATCATTGCTCTTGATAGCGCTACGTGCCTAGTTTTAAGCTTCACGCCCTTAACAGATGTGGGTAGATGGACAGACAAAGAACATAGAAAAATAAAATTGTTGTTGCATTACTATGACGACTATGTTACAATTAATGGGGTCACAGAGACCTTAAAGATTCTGCAATAGTATATATGTATCTTGGGACCTTCTAAATCTTTAAGGGGCAGTCGGGTAGCCTAGTGGTTAAAGCATTCCTTCGTCATGCCAAAGACCCGGGTTTGATTCCTGACATGAGTACTATGTGTGAAGCCCATTTCTGGTGTCCCCCGCAATGATATTGCTGGAATATTGCTAAAAGCGGCGTAAAACCATACTACCCCAACACCCTTTTTCTAATAGAACTGGGGAGTACAGAGGTTGGAGTTAGCCACGATGACAATCACCCAGATAGTTCTCCCGAACAGAAAACAACACAATATGAACAAATCATTTACATTTCTGTAATATTTTGAATGGTTATGTATCTTTCTCATTTCCTGTAATCATTAAGCAGTTAAGTTTGTCCTATGATTATTTATTTATGCATTCATTTCTTATTGATGAATGTCTCTGAGTTTTCCTGTGGCTATTGTACTCTGGTGTTACGGTGTTACCAGGTCCACAATGTCAACTTGTGACGTCATCTCTCTCTCGCTCTCTTGCATGAGAACATGCTGAGACAGCTTTCTTGTGTCGCTCAGCTCTCTGCTAGCAGGGATGCAACCAGTCTGCTGGTCCTGGTCCATTTGTTAAAGATATACTGAGGACTAGTAGAATTTCAGGCGTGTTGATTAAAATCCTTATCACCATTCAGACTTATGTCTTCAGCAACCCATGCTTGTCATAAGAGGCGGCTGTGCTTGTCATAAGAGGCGGCTGTGCTTGTTATAAGAGACGGCTGTGCTTGTCATAAGAGGCGGCTGTGCTTGTCATAAGAGGCGGCTGTGCTTGTCATTAGAGACGGCTGTGCTTGTCATAAGAGACGGCTGTGCTTGTCATTAGAGACGGCTGTGCTTGTCATAAGAGGCGGCTGTGCTTGTCATAAGAGGCGGCTGTGCTTGTCATAAGAGACGGCTGTGCTTGTCATAATAGGTGACTGTGCTTGTCATAAGAGGCGGCTGTGCTTGTCATAAGAGGCGGCTGTGCTTGTCATAAGAGGCGACTGTGCTTGTCATAAGAGGCAGCTGTGCTTGTCATAAGAGACAGCTGTGCTTGTCATAATAGGCAACTGTGCTTGTCATAAGAGACGGCTGTGCTTGTCATAAGAGGCGGCTGTGCTTGTCATAAGAGACGACTATGCTTGTCATAAGAGGTGGCTGTGCTTGTCATTAGAGACGGCTGTGCTTGTCATAAGAGACGGCTGTGCTTGTCATAAGAGGCAGCTAACAGGATTTTGATCAGGCTTGCTGGTTGGTGTATGTCATTGTATCCCAGTTGCGTGTGTTGATGCTCATGGTGTCAATCACTGGATTGTCTGGTCCCAACTCGATTATTTTCAGACCGTCATTATATAGCTGGAATATTGCTGAGGGTGGCATTAAACATAAAACAAAAGATTAATGTGTTGGATTAATTTGCATCCCTGCCAAGAACCTGTCTCTGACATTGTTTGCATGGCTCTCTGTGAGCAATGTTATATTTCTGTAAAGGGAAAAGTGCAATGTGAGTTAATATTGTTGATTATGAAATTACTTAAATGTGTTAAGATTATTGTTACATCAACATGATCATGTTTAAATAATGGTACATTGTTAGGATAGTTACATTGAAATATACGGTAATATACAGTGAACCTTGTTAATCCAGATACCATACATTCTAGACAGTTACCATTGGGAGCATCTATATATCAGTAAAAAAATGATTTGTTGAACTTTGGAACTTTGTCCAAACAATTTCATTGGAAATGTGCATTCTGAAGATCTAGGTTAGTTTTTAGTCTTGTTGTAAGTGACGACTAACCAGAAAGGATAGTCAGACTCACTGACTTGGTTGATGCATGTCGTTGCATCCCAATGATTGTCTGGTCCAGACAGGGTTATTTACAGACAGTTGTCGTATAGATAGAATATTGCTGAGTGCAATGTTAAACAACAAACAAGACAAACAAACACTAGAACAGGTAGTCTCTGGATTAATAAAGCTTCACTGTATGAATTCTGCAGGTATCACAACTTGAGAGCATGAGAGACTGTCCTTAGTCTGTTGTTTCAAACCAGAACCAAGGATAGAAATAGGGTGTGTTTAGTGCTAGCCTACTGGTTAAGGTAGTAGCTCACCGTGACATAGACCTGGGTTCAATTCTCCCGATGGATGTGTAAAACCCATTCTTGGTGTCTGCTGTTGTGATACGGTAGGGAAGTGCCCCAGGAGATCTCAGATTTAAAGCATTGATACAGTATCCGAAAGACCAGGAAATACCAATTTGTCATAATGGTAGAAGGCTGTTCTTTAAATCAGAGACAAGACAAGGAGCTGTTTGTGGCACTAGACAGTTCATCCTTGACGATACAGTGCATTATTCCTCCATTTTCCATGACCACCTAGTGTGCTAGTGGACAGAGCATCAGCCCAGAGAGTAGAAGGTTTTGTGGTTTCTCGGCCTGATACCAAAACCTTTTAAAAATGGTACTTGTTATTACCCTGCCTGGCGCTTGGCATTAAAGGGATAAAGTGGGAACTGGTCGTCTTGGAGTCAGTATTCTGTCCTGACTGGGGTGGCGTTCCCCCATCCGCATCTCCATCACCCTTTTTACTAACCTAGCACAGAATTTCTCTCACTTAAAGAGATGTTTGATGTTATTAGTGTCATGCTATTTGATAAAAAAAAATTGCTTTGTCAATCATTTATTTAGTTATGTGGAAGTCAATCTGCCATTGAGTTAAAACTGCAGCTGGCTTCGTGAATCACTGATAGCGATGTAGACATAGAATTTTATAACATTTTTTTATTGTACAAGAGGGTCTATGTTAGTAGTAGGAGACATGATAATAATAAATATTTTCATCTTTATTTCAATTCTTTTCCAGCTGCATTTCAGTATCGGCGGCGGGCCCGTAAAATAAAAAAAAAAAAAGTGTGGCGATTAGGTATTTAGCAATATAGATTAAATTTATAATACACTGGATGATCAAGGATGACTTGTATAATCAAAACCAGCTATCAATGTTCAGAAGAGATGTTCCATTGCGGTAC